CAAGTCGGGTTAGGGGGGATGAGAACAAATAAAAGGACTGAAGAAAAGGATGATCCGCGGTCGGTCGGCAGCACGGCACGGAGAAGGAGGTCGTAAGTAGGGTGGGCAGAGCGCCCGGGTCGCGGCGGCGGGCGGATCATCGCGGGCTCGCTAACATAAGACAGTAAATAAAAGAGAGCGAATGGAACACTTATGCAGAATAGACAGGCTGTTACTAAATTATAATGCGGTAAATAGGTTTAAACCCATTTAAACTAACCAAATCTAAAAACGAATGAACGCTACTAATATATCTCGCACATTAAATTAGGTGCTATGGGATGCGAAATAAGACTTGTGCTCAAAACAATAACTCCTTCTCAACGGTTGGAGACTCAGACAGATGCAGAAAGACAGCACTACTGCTTGTGACTGGCACGTGAGAAAAAAAAAATGAATCAGTGAAAGAGAAGAAAGGTCCGAATACCCTCGTGAACCCTCGGTAAACATCGGCGAATAATAGGTACTGCTGCTCGTAAACAGCTCTGGTTAACGAAATACCTAGTCGTACCATGCTACTTACACACTAAATTACCGACTGCAGTGACATTATAACAGTTTCACTACACAGGCTCTCGTTGAATAGTGTCAGATCGGTTCATACAGTCTATCACCCCTCCCCCCTCCCCCCCCCCGCCCGGCCCCACCCCGGCACCCGGCCGGCAGGACGGCGCCCGTGGCACCAGCGCGGCGGGGTGTGAGGGGTTCCACCTCATATCAGGCACTTCACCGACATTTCAGCTGACATCACAGAAGATGTAACACATAAACAACATAAACACACTTCTAAACTTTCCCAGTTGGACAGTCTGTGTTCGCATGATCTACTTTTTACCGAGCTTTTTAAGGTTAGTTCCACGTTTCTTGCGCTTACCTTGACCTTCGGCGGCAGCAGTCTCACCATCACCGGTCACCGGGGAAGACGGAGCGGTCCCTGTGCCCGGCGGAGCAGGTGACGGTCCCGCACCGGACACCTCAGCAGGCACTCCCACTCCCGGCGACAGAGTGGCAGCTCTCGCCCCCGGCTCCGGCGACTCGGCCGTCGTCTCCTCGGTCGACTCGGCCTCGCCAGCTGCAGTCTCGGCCTCAGCTTCTGTTGCCGTCCTGGTCGACACTTCCGGCTCCGGTCCGGTCTCGGCGGCTTCGGCTTCAGCCCCGGCCCCTGGCACGTCCGGAGGGGCAGCTACGGTCACGGGCGGGCGAGCGGCAGGGGCCCCGCTCACCGGCTCGGGGAGGACTGACACGGTCACTGCCGCGATACCCTCCGCCGGCCGGCGCGCAGTGGCGGCGCCAGGCCCAGCCGCGGCGGGGACGCGCTTCTCCCTCGGAGTAGGCGCGGCGATAACCCCGGTCTGCTGCATAGCGCTCTGTATGTCTGGGTCGTCTCCGACGATGTCTTGAAGGTCGTTGATGGAGTTGATCTTCCTGGTCGGTCCTCCTTCTCTCGTGCGCACCTTGATCTGGCAGTTAATAGTCGGGAACCGGAGCCTCTGACGGCCTAAGACGGGACCTTCGTATCGGACGGCCACTCACCGGTGACTTTTGAGGGCCCCGCACCGACGACTCTGAGGGCCCCCACCGGCGTCTGAGAGTACCTTGCTGGTCTCTGAGGACTCAACAGTGCTCCTGAAGACACCGCAGACCTCTCAAGGGCCATTTGTCGGTCTCTGAGAGCCCCTGTCGGCTTATAAAGGGTTAGAGCCAGCAGTTCTAAGGGTCTACCCGACTGTGATGACACCACACTGCAGTGTCTCTGAGGGCCCACAATGGCAACTGTGAGGACCCTCACCGCCTCTGAGGGCCACACACTAGCACCTCAGAGGGCCCACAGCGGCACCTCCGGGGGCCCGCACCAATGCCTCTGAGGGCCCACACCAGTACCTCCAAAGGCTTCATAACCGGCGGCCCTGAGGGCACTACACCGGTGATTTTTGGGGGCCTACCGAAGGCACAACACAATCCCTTAGTCTCGCTAAGTTTCCATCCCAATCCCATACCGGCTTCTATCCCGATTCCGGCTCTAGCAATCCCCCCCCCCCCCATGGGTCAGCGGCGCCGCGCCGGTGTCGGTGCGGGGGCCAGCGCCATCGGGGCGGCAGTCGGCCACGCGCACTCAATGGTTAGCGCTTAGCACCGGCGGCTAGCGCACGCCCGGCGTGTTATCGGCCGTGAGCCGCTCCAAAACGGCTGCAGTAACTGGTCGATATAGGCAGTAAGCAGATGAGGAGATGCAGGTGGATTGATAACCGGCAAGCTTTTGTATTTTACGAGGGCGAAGGGTCGAAGTCGGCTGCTAAGCCGTGAGCGGATTTTATCAGATGCCGGTTCACTATGACCTTTATCCTGGTCCTGGTCCGCTGACGCACTCTTGGAGAGCCGAATCGCAGCAAAACTCCATCCACGACTGTATCTATACGGCTTACGCTTTTCTGAAAACGTCTGCGTTTGGCCTCCTACGGGCCCGGCCGGCCGGCCCCGATTGGTGATCCACCAGTGACGTCACTGGTAGTGTTAAGCTGATTGGCGAATAATACATGGGGAGAACCGGGACGACATCCCCCGGTCGCTCGGGGCTCGGCTGATTTGATGCCAGATGAAAACAATCTAAAACAATTTAGTTGTTTTAGAATACTACCAAAAGGGAATGAAGGATATACTAGAAGAATCCGGCTGAAAATACATTTTGATGAGGTAGAAATTCCATACATGATGTTTTTGATAAAAAAATAAGTTTTTGAAACTGAATGAGGATAAATTTAGTGCCAACAAACCCGAAAAAATAGGAAGTTTTCAAGAAAAATTGGATATGAACTGGTAGCTAACTAAGGGTAAAAAGGGGAATATTTGTTTCTGGTCCCTAAAAAGCTGTTTCTGGCACCTAATTGCTGATCAGCCCCAAAATGCTTATTCGACCCTAATATCTGAATCTGGCACCTAATTGCTTCCACACAGCCTAAAGATGCCAGATCGTCTAGTTGAACTCCGTATTTGCTGTTTGCTGATTCAGCACCAAAACCAAAACATCCAGCACCTATTTTATTCCACGTTTGCCTACCTAATTCGCGTAATCTTCCTGATTTTATGTATCCTGACAAACATGAACGTTGCATTCGGTGATGTCAAGTGCCATTTTCGCCAGTGGAGATAATGACTAATGTCATTTCTAGCCAAAAGAGAATCACTAGCCAGCTATGGTGCAGCATAGCAAGACGCTCCTATACCAGCCCGCTATGTAGAGATTATTGCACCCTCAGCCATTTTAACGTGAAAAGTTTGGATCCGTCACTTCCAGCCAGGCTCTCAGGTCATAAACTGGAGTAAAGCAAAATGTCAACTCTGAACAGACATGCCACGCAACCGGCCCTCTTTTCAATATTATTAGCTTTCTGCAATCATCGTCTGACTCCATCTCGATCAAACGCAGCATCCGGTTTCTACAGGGGCGTTTGACTGACCGGCCACACAATAACCAAAAACAAAATCAAAGCTTCATGCACACTTAAGTAAGAAACGGATGAAAAAGGGACAACCACGGCACAACTCTGCACGGCAAACAACGGACAATGTCCCACGCAAGATCCCGCGTTTCTTCAGCGGCCTTGAACGGAATGAAAACATTACATTTCTTTTTTGGAGCTATTTGATGACGTCAAAAAATACAATACCCGTTGTAATGGTCAAAATCGAGACAATTACTCACAAAAATGTTTCCTTTTAAGCATTGCAAATAAATAATTTAAAATATTTAAATGACATTGTTTTTTTTCAAACAAATCAATATTATTTGCTTACTTAAACGTCATATACAATGCTGAGATCACTACGGGGCTGTCTTAGAGTGTAGCTGCACTGGCAACCTTTAGGCTAGACTCCAGGGGTCATTATACCAGAACAACATGATTCTACCAGCCAGTAGTTCATTTTTCTACTAGATTGGTGCTACGCTCAGCATTTAGGTGCCAGATTCAGAAAAAAAGAGTAAGGCGTACCGATGAATAGGTGCCAGAAACAGCTAATTAAAGTCATTTTCCATAATTAGTGCTGGTATCCACCAAATAGGTGCTGAGGACCAATTTTGGGGCGAGTCAGCTTTTAGGTGCCAGAAATAGCTTTTCTGGGACGCAATTAAATGGCGTCCGGGTAAAAATAGGATGAACTGGTAGCCAACTAAAGGTTGAACGGGTTGAACAAGGGCGGACAAAGGAACGTCTCCAAGGGGGGCCAAATCAATCCATCCCGAAGTTCATCACCCTTTCTTTTGTTTATTTTGTTAAGGACCTTTTCCCTCCATTGAAGCCATTGCAGACTCGGAAGAATTATGGGGATTAGGGGGGGGGGGGGCATTGGTCTGGGCGACTCACCCTAGTGAGTCGCCGGCATAGGCGGCGGAACGGGGAGGGCACCGGGGCACCGTGCCCCCCCCCTTTGATTTTGGCATTTTAACATTAGGCATTAGCCCTTGCCTATGGGCGATTAGACATTAGCCCTATGGGCGTTGCATGGAAAGAATGGAACCAAAAGTCGGCAGTACCTCTTCCGCCGCTACTGGTCGCCGGGGCCGAGCCCGTCCAAATGGACAGGCCGATCAGCCCCCCCCCCCCCCCCCAAGCATTCACTGCACTCGGCTACGGGTGTGCTCCCTTAGAAGCAGCGGCGCGCTCCAATGGGAGTCGCCCGCATGGGAATAAGTTGCCTGTCCAGCCCGGAACAGAGGTTGCGGCGTGGAGGATTTTACTGTCCCGAGGACGGAAACGACTGAACGGGGAGCACCGCTGATTGATCACTCAGTGCAATATCGCACAGAACGGGCTTGGCTGGCGAGTTCCGCAATGCCCCGCCTGTGATTCCTTTCCCCGCGTACGTGTGCTCAAACACCTGCTCTCATAATATTCTGGATTCACTCCCCTGATTCAAAGTCCTTCGTCATAAATCCACATCAACTAGCCGCCATGCAAACGACAGGCAGTATAAGTCATTTATTTCCTAATACAAAATAGCCATTGATACACGAGGGAATCATCAACAAAAACTTAACCCACCAACACACACGCGCCGAGCACACATTGGAGACCATTGGGAGGTGCTCGGGACCGCCCCGCTGCAGTAGCACGGAATGTTTGCTCTGGGCGGCCACCGGGCGCGGACGGTCGCCCGTCCCGCTCCGGTCCCGTCCTGCCCCAGTTCCAGCCGGCGAATGTGCGTCACCCGGGGCGCCCCGACGGACCGCGGCGGCGCCACCGTCCAGCCCGCTCCGCGCCGCGGTCCGGAGGCGCCACCGTCACCGCGGCGACCTCCGGCGGGCCGACCCATCAGCCCATCCTCAGCCGACACCGGGCCGTTACTTCTTCTTCTTCTGCTCCTTCAACCGCTTCTTCTCTTCTCGCTTCCGCTCCTTCTCGTTCAAACTGTTGACCAGCTTGTACATAAAGAAGCCTGTCAACAGAAAACGTGCGTCAGGTGCGCTGACATGGGCAGACGAGAACTTGGTGGTGTTGAAATTACACTTCACATGCAAGAGAGGCTGCAGCGTAAAGCAGTGCAAAGAAACTAGCGATATTTAAGAGAGTTTAGCTTTGTGAGGAAAATCCTCATGATGATTATGAGCATATTCATTTGCAACGCCCGGCAAATACCAGAACTAGGGACTAGCGCCAGCGCAAGCTGGTCATGAAACTAGCGATACCAGAAACTGCGATACCAGAAATACTGTAAGCTTTTCGCACCAAGCAAGCAAACAGCATAGCATCTGAGTTCTGACATTACCACACCAACGAGCGTTCTCTAACCAAAAACAAGAGAGCCTCGTCATCGTAACAGCGAACGGCGCCTGCATAACAGGTGTTATGGTCAATGGTGAAAGGGTATCGTGGCTGTACCATGTTATAACTATCTGCATAGTAACACAACCGGCGGGCAATGCCGTTCGGTATGACACTTGCGTTGATACAAGCACTGTCAGCCTACACCGGCCACAGGAGCGGAAAGTCCAGACCAGCCCTATCACAAGAAGCCTGCAAAAGCCACAACCGAGCGGATAAAAATCGCCGGACCATGTGGCAAACGTGGCAAACAGTCTGGAACGGTGCCCTTTAAAGTGAACAGAAGCGGCATCACCCTATCCAGCCTATCTATCCGCTCACCAGTTCACCACTCACCCAGAACGGACACAGGTATGAGGCAGCAGACGACCTTCACTACGGGCCACGCCCACAGCAGGGTCTGCAGCAGCGCTAACGACATGACTGCCGGCGGGGCGGAGCGCGGCTGCGTCTGCGTGCCGGGAGACCCGCCGGTCCTTACACGACACACAGCTGGTGGAGGCTCGTGGGACTCGGTCAGCTGCCTCCAATGGGACAGAGACGCGTCAGCGCCGGCGTGTGGGACCCGTGACGCTGCCGAGATAAGACTCGGGAGGAAGGGCCGTGGCAATGTGCTGGTTTGTTGGTTGCAGCAGAGCCATACAGCAGCATGTTCGTGGCGGGATCCTGACACCAGCAGTGCTCAGGCGACCGTCTGGAGGTCCTCCGCGAGGATGAGACTCAGGTCAGGGTTGCGAACTGGGAACAGGAGGCAGGTCAAGTCACCAGATCTGACCTCGGTGAGTGCCACTGGCGCACGCCAGGAGCCGTTGCCAGTCGCAGAGAAGTACCGGCGAACTCTGGTAGGTAAGATCCCTGGTAAGTCCGACAGGTGGAGCGGAGACCTCCGATTAGCTGATAAGGCAGTGTACTTCCTCGTTACCGTGGTGGATTAGTAGCGTCTGCAGGTAGACAGTCTTGTAAAATAGCGACCTCAGGCCAACATGGCAAGCCTGTGAGCTCTGTCATTCCATAAACTAGGGATTTTCTGCAGATCAGCTTCGAGAAACCGTGAGTACCTAAAATGCATGCGTCTTATTGAATCAGTGACCCTTGAAAATGTTCAGCTCTACAGGTGACCCTTATCAGGTCAGGTGGTTAGATATTGGTTCTTTGATGTCCGTTAGTTAGGGAAGCGACCTTAAAGACCAGTGGCTTACCAGTAGATCCCAATGGTAGTTACATATATCATGGCTATGAGTGAGCTATAAAGCGAAGTGATAATGCACACCAAATGTTCCTGCAGGCTACAATCGATCATGTAGGGAAAAGCTGGTAAATGTATCAGCCCTTCAAGCCTCGGACTGATACATTTACCAAACATTCGTACATTAATGTCTTTCAATTTCATGCAGATGGAAATATTCGGCTTATTGGCCGAAAATGATATTATCAAAGTCAGGAATAGTCGGACGTCAAATACCTACTTCAGTGGTAAATAGGTTCTGGGCCATTCAACCATTGACCAATGAATGCGCAATCTACCACCAACTGATAAGCATATGTACCGTTTATCGCAGGATCGCTTCAGCCAGGCGCCGGGAGGACGGCTTCATCAACGAAAAAATGCACCTTATCTTATCACATGAAAAGGATGGCACACAGCGTCGTCGCCTCTTGGATCCATCAAAGGGCAAGTATTCCAAAGAGCGACTCAGAAGGCGAACGAATCACTTACACCACCGAAACCGAGTTCCTTGTAAGCACTTACTGGCCTATACACCGGATCGACCCCGCTAATGGACACTTGATGCTTGACATTGGACAGCATCCCCACCGGATCGAGCCGGGGTCAGCCGGTCGTGAAGTCACCCTACGCACCCCTCGATCTCACGCCCCAGCTGGAGCTCTGGGTCACGTCACTCACCGATGACTGCCATGGGAATAAGGAAGATGCCGAGCCCGAGCAGCGGCGACAGCAGCCACCAGAGGAAGCTCTGTCCGCCCTCGACGGCCGCCGCCTCGTCCGCCATGGTCGCTCCCTGTCTGTGTCCGTGTCCGCGCGCCGTGTGCCGCGGCCCGTGTCCGCGAGGTTAGCGCTGCCGGCCGGCCGGCGACGTGGTGCCTCCCGCTGCCTGCGTGGCACCGAGCGCCGCTAGGCGGCCGCGCACGGGCGGCGCCAGGCACCGCACCGCGGGGGAACGACCACAACAAACGCACGCGACCGAGCCGGCCTTGAAATACCAAGTGCAGCATGAACCGGTGATGGTAACACCATTTTGGGGCATACAATTCGGCACGACACTCCACCCGACCACCCTACAGGTCAGCTTCCTTCGGTCTTGCCCATATGTCATTTGAGACTATGGGGTAAGGTTAGGATATTACGGAAGCACGCACCGCCGAAAGGTCAGCCGCCCCGCCTGCCTCGCCAGACCGGTGTAGCGCCCGCAGTCAGCTGAGGAGATGGTTATCAGCAGCGTCAGGGAAGGGGAGGGTGGGAAACAAGGAGGGAGGGGTGATGGTCCACAACAGAGCAGCCAGATTTCCACTGCAGAAACCCATGAATGGAAACAAAGTGGTTCAACTTCGATGATGAACAACGCCGATATTGATTGGTTGAGTCGTAAAGTTCGATGAGCCAAGAATAAATAAAGCTCATTTTGATGGCAGTACAGCGTAAAACATGGAAACACTGGACGAAACGTCTCGCCAGTCGCACGTACTGTCGTATGTACAGTACCTAACATGCGAATTGATGCGGCATTCTGTGCTACTCGCGGCGTACATCTACCACTAACGGTGTTATGGCGGGAAGGGAAACCACCCTGTCTTTTTCATTTTTGCTTGCTGAGCTTTCACCTGACAATGACCTGACCAGTGAACTACTTACTACTTAGGCAAAATGTATGCATTAGGTTTATATATTCTTAAAAGCACGCAATTGCCGTTTCCCTCATCTTTCTACGGCTATCCATTCGGAGTCACAACAGCACACGAAACAAGTCACAATGGCACCCGACACAAGTCACAACGGCACCCGAAACAGGTCACAACGGCACCCGAAACAGGTCACAACGGCACCCGAAACAGCGACAACAAAGACGAGAGCGATACACCGGCGCGGCGGCGGCCCGGTCACTGGTCGGCGGCGGTCGGCGCTGGCTCGTTGCGGCAGATGATGGAGATCCGTCGGCTCCTCGGCACCAACTGGCCGGCGAAGCGCGACTCCGCTTCTGACAGCACTTCGTGCGTGTAGTCGTAGCGCGCCGTGTGCCGCATTATGTAGAGCGAGCGCCGCGGCAGCAGCGCGTCCAGGCGGCGCGTCGGCTCTGCGCAGCTCACCAGTCTCATTACGGCGTCCGACAGCAGGCTGACGCCCGCGATAACGCTGCCACAGAACCGGGTGCTGTCGACGTGCGGCTTGATGACGCCGTCGGCGGCCAGGTCCAGCACATGGACGTGCTTCAGCGGAGGTGTGCCAGGTGGCATCGCGAGGTGCCGCACCCGCTCCAGCACCCGCTCGTTCTGCGGACGCCAGTGGAGCCGCTCCGTCTCCCGAAATCCGTGAATCGCATCATCCCAATGATCGAATTCATATCTCATCCTTCGCAGATACGGACCGATTTCTGCCATGATGCCTTCTTCCTCGGCCTCAGAAATGAAGTTTCGGAACACAAGCATGTTGCTGAGCACAGCTGTTTTGCATTCATGTTCCCAATTTCCAGTTAATTTGATGCAGCTGTGGTCTGGTTCAAGTTGTTCTCCACCCACTTTGCTGTTCTCATGATCATTGAGCGATTGACTGCTTGTCTGCTTGTCTTTATTTCTCGTTGATGAACAAAAACATAGATTTTGAAGATATGTTTTACTCTTAATTCCAGCCAAACCAAAGCATTTAAAAACATTCAGCTCTTTTTGAAGAATCATTTCATGCTTCCTTGATTTGCTTCCTGGATTACATCCAAAATCTAAAAAAGGAGCAGTCCGTGAGGTTTTTACATTAATCCAGAAACGAAAGATGCTGATGCAAAGTATACCACCGGTTTCTCACACTGCATTACATTGGCTATCTGCCGAACGTTAGCCGGTGACATGACAGTTGAGCCTGAGAGGTGGGTGGGCGTCTATTATAGGTCAGTGAGCCCTTGAGCGAGCCGCGGCGACTCCACCCCTCCCCTCCATCCGAGCCCACCCCAAACAGGCCGAGGCCACAGATCACATGTGGTGAGGAGACCAAAGAAGTGTGAGCCGCCCATGCCGGTGGGCTATTCCTTATTGAAAACGGTCGAACAAGCAAGATAAGCTGAACAGACCGTGTGTGTGCTCTGTGTGCACGTGTGTTTGCGGGGGTGGGGATGAAGGGGAGGGAGCCGGAGGCTGGCGCTGGATATACTGGATTAGAGGCGGTGATTGGCGTTAAGTGATCAAACATGACTTCTTGCCCATTTGATTCAAAATCAACAATTGCTTAGCGTGCTGAAATCAGGGTACTATATACATAGCCTTATAATACATAGCCTCATAATATGTTGAGTCAGTGCCCATGAGTCATGATTGACATTGACCTCCTTTTTCTCGTATGACAGGGCAGAAGCCAGCGATATTCGAGGTCGAAATTATAATGTTGACACCTGATTGATAATGTGTGAATCATCTCCATCATTTCAGCGACAGCATTTAGCTAGCACTGCAGCGTGATATTCAACTACCTATAGCCTATAGACAATAGACATTCAACTACCGACGGTCTCAGAGGCACAACGATCTCGCTTCTCGTACCAAGGTCTCCTGTCATATCTAAAAATGACTTTAATGTTTGTGATGTTTTTAATTAACCTGCGCCCGGCTGGGGGTCCTGGATTTCCACGCCCTGATGGGGGAGGGGGGGGGGGGGTGGGGGGTGTTTGAACACCCCCCTTCTAACTCGGCTCCTGGGCCACGTAGCGATACGCGGGAGACGGCGTTCGAAAGAGCGTCAAAAATAATTAGGAAATCACTTATGTCAATTTTTTGGTCAGGTCAAAGGTCAGGTCACCAGAGGTCATTGAAGGCAAAATTTCGCCGATTTCCAGGTCGAATGTCGACAATTTCCAAGAAGCCAACGCATAACTCGGGAACTAATAGAGCTACAGCGCCGCGGAAAAGCGCATTCGATAGCCCTATTAACGCCCTTTCTGAGTAATTCCCTCAGATTTGACCTAACGTCAACGGTTTTACCTGCAGGGGGCAAAAACTGCAAAAATAGCCGATTTTTTCGGAAACAGTTTTTCTGCAATAACTTTCGACCCAAGCCTTGTACGAGCTTACTTTTACCGGCATCGTGTTCCTCTCGTCAAGACGCATCGAATGAACTATAATTTGACCTTGAAAGGTCAACTTGGAAATTTGACCTCAGGTCAAGGTCATGACCTGACCGGAAAGGGTCATATTGCATATCAGTCGATCCGTATCGTCGAGCTGAACACATCTAAGGCATTTTCATTGTTCTAGCATGCCTCTATCAAAAGTTATTTGCGAAAAACTGTTAGATACCATTCGTGACCTAAGATGACCTCAGGGCATAAATAGGGGTCACGGACACCATTTTCATGTTCAGTGTGTCTAAACCACTTGTAATTCAGTGTTTGGGAGTGTTTATAATGGGTTTGTTCCCGTCGCTCCTCTAACCTCCTCCAAGCTCCTCTAACCTCCTCTCGTTTCAAAAAATCGTTCCCGTCGCTCCTCCAAGCTCCTCCAAGCTCATCTTGATTTCACATCTCACCACCACTATTTGCCTCCTCCCTCATCCCAAACGAAAGTTGGTTTTTTGGAGGAGGCTCTTGCGTAGACATATTTGGCGCACGTAATACAAATGTGAATTGTTTATAAATGAGATTTGAGGGAAGTGGAAATGATTTTAGTGATTGATGACGATTGGATATCTTTAAAGGGACCCTCCCGGCTCCCACCTTCAAAAAAGTTGATGAATTGGCATGAAAGTGATGTCGCTCGGTTCAGAAAGAGCAAAAATGAATATCTACCAAATTTCATCGAAAAATATTCACCGGTTTTCAAGATATTAGACTTTTACTTTTGTTTACTTTTTGGGATCTCCGCTGTTCCTAGCGACTTTATTTGAAAGTGCGGCATTTGTTGCGCGCAAAGCAGCATATACCACCGCGTGCTGCCAAACGTTTTAGTAAAAGATTTAAAAATCGTTAGGTCTCCGCTGACGTCACAAATTCTAAGGGGGCATACCAATGCACTAGCCCCTTAGAATCCGAAAACTGCAAGTTTGAAATTCCATATCTCCGAATTAAAGCATTTTTCGATGTTGTGAATGCCCAAACCGGTATTTTCAGGCCATGGCCACCAATTTGGCTATCTCAACTCAAAACTAATGTTAAGGTGGGAGGGTCCCTTTAAATAGTAATGTTTGATATTGTTAGGAATATAGAAGGCGTCAGCGCCGAAGGCGCACGTGTTATTCATAATGTGTGTCGATTATTGTTATTGAGTCGACGATTGAAGTGAGTTATGTGTGTGAGTCAGTCAGGCGGTGCGCTTGACCACGAATGGTAAGCTGGAGTGTAGAATACAAGGACGTGTGCACGATTTCTAACACTGGCGCGGTCGCATGCTCACGTTCCTACGTGCCGCTAAATTAACGATATTTCTTTGCTTTAATTTTTCATAAAAGCATAACGATGCTAATTATCCGTTATCTTAAGCATATTTTAGAGCTTAATTTTGAGTCCTGAGCACATGAATAAATCGACCGACCGCGACGAGTCATGGTGACTTCCGACATCGGCTTCAGCGTTGATACGGCCGCAGCCCTCAAGTCTCTGGAACAACGCATGGACGATATCCAACAAACACTGCGGCAACTGTGCAGACACCTGTGCACCGACGGTTCGAGGCGGCAGTTCGCCGGGCCCGCTGGAGATGGTGGCACCGGCAGCAAAAGCACTACCTCTGCGCCAGAAAACGGACAGCCTCGGTGTTTCGTCTGTGGTGATCTGGGCCACATCCGACGTTTCTGCCCCAAACGGCGCGGCCACATCGAGAATCGGAAGTGTTTCGCATGTGGGAGAAAAGGACATCTGTTCCGAGAGTGTCCCCACACTGGTACCTCGCAGCGGCCCTTCTGTCTGCGCTGTAGACGTGATGGCCATTGGATGTCCGATTGCAGTCTGCACGGCCCGACCACGATGGGCGGTGTGCCCGCGTGCCCCGGTGCTGGACAGACCCCGAACCAGGGAAACTAAGGGCAGCTGGTATTAAGGGACAAATGCCAGCCATGCTTGTACCAGGGTCCCACATCGTAGCATCTGTTGTGGAAATAGAACTTGGAGGTAGGCGGGTGTGGGCCCTGGTGGACACCGGGACTGAGTTATCGATGGCAGGTGGCAACGGAGGCCCGCGGTCGTCGGGGGACGAGGTCTGTCACGATGAGCCCGCCGTTTTGGCCCCTGCTCTCGGCCACGGGTTCGGATCTGGGGCGGCGAGACGGCTGGAGGCCGAGAGTTCTCAGGTTTGTCGTCTTACCTCGGTGGTTTTGGCGTTTGTGGTGCATCTGCTGACTTCCGTGGTGTCCTTGTTTTCGTGGGTGTTTAGAGGACGGAAGTCAGCGCTCACCCCGGTTGGGTCAGCTCCCGGTCCGTCGGCGGGTAAGGTGACATGCCAGGGGTCTGACCCGGTGCAGGGCGGTGCGCCTACACCGGAGAGCACTGATAGGGTCGCTTCTTTTCTAGCTGGGAGTGGGGAGTCTGCCAACAGGGGAGGGACGGCTCTGATCGTGAGGAATGGCAGTGTGGGCGCGGAGAGCCGCGGCCGGCTCAGTGTGGTGGAGCCTGACCCGGTGAAGGGCGAGTCGCCCACGATCAGCCGTTTGGACAGCGATGCTCACCTTAGGGTTGGAGAACCCGTCACCAGTTCCCGAGCGGGGCCAAATCAGCTGCCTCCTGTGCTTCGGGCACGACGGAGACGACAGCGCCGCCGACGCCGTCGTCGTCCCCCTCGTGGTCTGAACGGTGATAGCGCTGAGGAAGTGTTGACCCACAACAATCTGAAGCCATACCGGGAGCCGAACGCGCCGGGGAACCAGTGACCACGGGCTCCGCGGTGAGGTACACCTTAACTCCGGGCCCGACCAGGTGCAAGGCGGAGCGCCTACACCAGAGGGCAGGAACGGGGTGTCTGACCCATTGGTAGAAGCATGGCTGGGCGGTGCACCTGGTCCAGCCCGTCACTCGCCACCGGGACCAGTGATGATGGTGCGTGCAAACTCAGTGGTGGTGGATTGCGAACTCTTGTAAAATGCGACGGCGCGTAGTGTGCTGCTACCTGTTGTGACCGGGTATGACCTCGCGGTCATGAGTACATGGTGAGCATGTGTTTCGGAGAGGGGAGGGGTGTTAGGAATATAGAAGGCGTCAGCGCCGAAGGCGCACGTGTTATTCATGATGTGTGTCGATTATTGTTATTGAGTCGACGATTGAAGTGAGTTATGTGTGTGAGTCAGTCAGGCGGTGCGCTTGACCACGAATGGTAAGCTGGAGTGTAGAATACAAGGACGTGTGCACGATTTCTAACAATATTAATCTAACGTTATTTCATTAGAAAGCGATTATTATCTCTTGATTTATGTTTGCGCGCCATAAATCGCCGACCGTTCCAGCCCGCAAACAGCTGATTTCCTCGCGAAAATGTTCCCGTGGCTCCTCTGAAACGGCTCTCCTCCAAGCTCATCCAACCTCATCCGAGATTTTTTGGGAGGAGCGACGGGAACAGACCCAATGTCTTTCGTCCAAAAGAGGCGCATTTCAATTTTCTCCCATTGACTTATAATGGGGAGGTCGCAAAATTGACCTGACCTTAGGTCATCGATATCAAAATTCTGAGATATACATTTTATACATGCTATTGCTCTTAGCATAGCAATCGCTGAAAGTTTCAAAGCGATCGGTCACTCGGTGTAGCTATGACAGACATTGAAACTTTTTATGAGGTGAGGTCACTTAAAGTGCCCTGGTGACCTGACCTTGAATGACCTTGGTCTGAAATTTTCACAACATGTGTAGAATTGATGTATGATAAGGTGTATCAAAAACGGCGGCGCTCCGATATTCGCGAAAAACCACAAGGGGGGTGTTCAAACACCCCCCCCCCCCCAGCAGGGCGCGGGTTAATAAACTTGGCATGTTTGGTACATTATTATTACATCTTTTGTCCGGAACCGTTCACCAACACATTTAACGAAAATGTAGGTATTCAATATTTTTTTCTGATTTGTTTATTCGAACCTGTCAAAAAGCACTCAGCCATATAAAATACATGCCATACATAGGAACACCAAAATAAAATCCAGATCAAATTTTATGAAGAAGCATAGGTACGTGGTGTATAAGTATAATGCAGACAACACAACAAAGCGAAGCACTTAAACTAGGTATTCGGAAGTGCGCTGAGACGATGATTAAAAGACGATACATGACGTAGCTACGATACGACATAAAAAACCTAACCGAAAAGAGTCAAATTAGCTCAACAAGCATGATGATGGCAAACCAGTAACAATAAGCAAGCAATTCAGGCATGGAGGCAAGCGCCAAGCCCATCAGTGAAATCTGGCAGTCAAGTAAGGCCATGGAGGATATGGAAAGCCAAATATTCTAGCAGAAAATGCATCCATCCTATCTTGTCAAAGATCAAGTTCACAAAGCTTGCTGTGAAGCAGCTTTAGTAAATCGTGTCTTCCAACTGCATATACATACACACTTAAAAAACCTTCCAGATAAAAAATATCCATGGAACAAAGGAGACACCTATATGCAACCTAAAAAGCAAGCAGCATCCATGCAATAAATTGGACATTTGGGACACTGTCACACCATTATCACACCAAAAAGTTGAATGCAGCCCGGCTAGCTACTACACTGAAGCAGTCAGTTGCTGGTTATCTGACTCACCCATGAGACCCACCACCACCACCCCAGGGAGAATGAAAACAGAATTGTTGAAACCATGTTCGATTGGTCCATCAGGCCCTGCACCAGCCAAGTCCACCATGGCTCCTGCCAAATTTGGAAACATTTTGGTTCATTGCAAAGGAAGTAGGTACCTTTGTGCTAGAGCAGTATATGCATCATTCACAAAAAGACAAATCAAATACATGACAATTACAATGCAAAGCACTTAGATGTGGTAAAAAAATTGTAGCCCAGGTCTGAAGAAAATGTCCAGGAAATCCAGGAAAATGATGTACCAGGATAACGATGCACCTAAATGGGTTGCTTGTCAGGAAATAGTTGTCAGGCATTCTGATGTAATTTTACATTGGCATGTACACCATAAGCGCATATTCCTCAAATCTGAGGTAAAATTGTAGATATTTTCACTTAATATGGTGCAGATTTCAGGAGCACTGACTTTGATAGTAAGTAGGCACCTAGTATTTTACATGCTAGTTACTAGTTAGTAAGTACACAAATTAGGCGGTGATGAACTTAAGTCATGAGGATCACCATGCACATTGCACAGTCACACAAAAAAAACATGACAGCACAGTTTTTGTATCACGGGACAACATCTCCATTTCCAGCCATCGAGCAGCTGCATCTATAAAAGCAATGCCCTAACTACAACTGATCTATCTGCCACCAGAAGAGATGGATCACACATAAGGAATCTAGTTCAATTTAAGTCTAAAATATTTTTTCAACATGGGCACTGTCAGTTAACTGATAGAACAGGTAGGCACAAATACGCAAAGGTTTTTGTCAAGTTTTTGTCACTGTATGATGAAATGTGGCATCCTTAAAAAAAAATTGGAAAAATTTACATCCCTTTCAATGCATTCTGCAGTGCAGAAACTGCTTTAAAAAAGGTATATAATCAAATGCCAGCATCTAGGAGGGATAGTAGAGATGCAGGGGACATGGCATGGGGCATTGCTCATCAACTCTGTTCGATATTGCCGCACTTCACAGTCCTGGAAGATTGCGAATAGTATCATCAGATGTGACTGTGAGATGAAGAAACATTGTCAGTGTCACCCATGAACTCGACTGGAGCAGGCACTACAGGTAACAGGCCATTGCCCGATCTCAAAACTTTTTCGAACATCTTAAGTCAAAGTGAGGTAATAGAACTGAGGGGACAGTTCCAAGTTTCCAACTCCAACAAATAAAGGGATATCTTTTTGATATCTTTTCAGTTGCAAAAATGTTGGTACAAACATGTGAATTACAGATCCAGTGTTGAGATAAGCGTCCCACGAATCGTGGGACGCTTATCTCAACATCAACATGATCGTGGGCCACGATCACGACACGGACACATCAACATTGACATGTAAGATATATTGCAACCTATTCTCAAAGTTAAGCTGTTAGAATTTGATTAGCAGTTACGAATAAATAAAATCCAGAAAGATATCAACCAATTAAACAAAGTAAAATGAAAATCACCCACGTTGAGGTGAAAACCACGGTATATAGAGAACTGTGAAAACTTTTTCCCAGTGGCGCGTTCCGTCCCGTGAGCCTTGGTCCCGTGCAAGGTGGCGTGTCATTACGCTGGTGTTCTGAAAAAGCCGTCAACAGAAATAGCCTGTGTGCAGGATTAACCTTTGTGAGGTATTCAGTGCTTTTACTGCGCCTTTTCTAGTTGAAAGTTTTTAGAATAATTAAATTTTGCATAAAAGTCATATAATTCTAATAAAATTGCAGTTATCAGCCAAAATATGGGCCAAAATGTGATCAAAATCAATACATGCTTCAGCAGTTGAATCTTGGTTGAACACTAATATTTGTCTCAGTCGCGCCAGAAATAATATTAATTGATTTAGTAGCTAGATCCCTATAGAGCGGCCACTTTTACGGTTTCTAAGTTTCTAAGCCACGAATAAGTTGACTTTTCTGATCGGCTCATGCTCGAGGGTACTCGAATTCGCCCTTTATCTTGAAAACAACTCTGCTGTAAATTTTAATTCGTTTTCATCCTATCCGAACCACCTTTGATTTAAAATGATGATATTCGCCAATGACCTAAAATGACTATCGCATTCGCATAAAACCTGAATATTGCGTCCTCGCATCACATCATCGTAACTACGTGCCACAAACTGTATTTTGATTAGGATCAGACATCAAACACTTTGTGGACAATGCGCAACAGTGCCGTCCTTCTTATTTCTATCCATTAATGTCTACACTCACGTATATGAATATGGCCCATTTACCGCTCAACACAAGATTCTTGTGGACATCATTTATTGAATAAACCTTTACACGTAAACACGTTATGTATCTACACACATTTCACGCACACACAGAACACTGGATGCGGGAGGAGGAGAATGGAAAGCACAGTCACGACGACCACTCGTTCCGTCTCACGTTCTAGCGTTACGTTCGTAAAAGGCCGTCATGAAAACAATGGCGCTCGCGCGTTCACATATTGTCGTTGGACGCATGGCGCGAGCGGCGGCGGCGGCTGCAGCCGAGTCGGCGCCGGGGCGCGCCCGGCTGGCCGTCCAACATCTCCCCCTGGCATCGGACGGGCGGGTGGCAGCGGGCGGGGCGGCGGCACAGCGCGGACCGGCGGCGCGCCTCGGCACGGCGGAGGCGGCGGTCGCGCCGCGCCGCGGCATAGTTCCCCTCCTCCGGGAGGCGGCGGACCCGGAGCCGCGTCAGGCCAGGTACCGGTACCTGTCCTTCTGGTCCGTGCGCTCCAGGTACTCCTTCTCTATGAGCATGTCGATCGACTTCTGCCGAACGCCGCGGGCGGAGGAGATCGGTCAGCGGGGAGGGATCGAGAGACAGACGAACGGAACCCACCGCCAAACTCACTGCCATACTCACTGCATAGACACTTTGACAGTCATATCAAGATCTTTAAAAAAAAATGATTCCAAAAAAATCGACAAATTAAATTGTCAGAACAAGGCATGCATAATTAACCGACAACTAATAAAACTTGCTTCTGGCCCACACAGTCAGCAGCAAGCATGCCTACATGCCATCCCCGCGGCACGCCCACCAAACGAGAACACAATACCCTCGGGGCAGAGCACTGACCTTGATGGCGGGCACGCGCGGCTTGAAGCGCGTGCTCAGCTGGTTGAGCACCTCGCCAACCAGCTGCTGGTGCTTCAGCTCCTTCCGCATCTTCATGATGCGGACGATGGCCGCCTGGATTAGGATCTTCCGGTCCTCCTCGATATTTTTGTGCGTGTTCTCCTGCAATGGAACGAAAATTCGTTAGAAGTGACACAGCAGCTTCATATCACGAATATTTAGTACGAACAAGTCGTTGTTTGTTTGTGTTAGTTTGTTGAGGGTAAGGGGCGCGCCGACTACGAGGCCATTTTGCGCCCATGTTCAATATATTCTGCAGTTCACTAGTCTAGCTCGCTAATTTCTACATCGCCAGATCGGACCGAGCCATCAGCGTCGACGGGACTCCCCGGTGGTCGGCACGCGTCCCGTACCTGTTCCACCCGCTGTTCCGACTTGAGCGGCACGTTGATGTTGACGCGCAGCTTCTTGTTGTTGTAGTTGAGGAAGAGGCTGACGACCGACGACTCGACCAGCTGGGCGTCCTCGCAGCTGAGCAGCTTCACCTTCAGCAGCACCGCGATATGCTGTCGGACCAGGAGCGGGTGGTGATGTCAGACATATCCCAGTATCAAACAGTCTCCCCCCTCCCCAGCCACGGCGATGTGCTGTCGGACCGGGGCGGGGGCGGGGCGTCAGACACATCCCAGTATCAAATAGTCTCCCACCTCCCCAGCCACGGCGATGTGCTGTCGGACCAGGAGCGGGGCGGGGACGTCAGACACGGGTGTCGCACAGAGCAAACCGACAGACGTCAGCCAAAATATCAACAGGTAGCTGAAGCTCCACCAATCGACAGCAGCAGGCCAGTCTTTGAGCTTAGTCTTTAAGCAAACATATTGCAATCCCAAGAAACGACGCATCCTGGTAGAAGAAGCCTCGTCGTAAGTCTAATAACCGCGGTAGGCAAATCGTAAGTCGTATATTATATAGTCTAGTCACCCAAGCGTTCATCGAAACAAACACAAGCGGTAGCTGAAGAAAGTGAAGAAACCCCCTGACTGATCGGTCCCGCTCATTCATTTGGTTGTCACCGTCTCACCTGCTTGAGCATGTCCATGGGGATGGAGGTGAAGTCGTGCAGCTGCTGTAGCGTCCACGAGGTCTCCGTGTTGAACTGCAGCAGCACAGCCATCTGGAACGTCGACGCCTGCAGAGTGTACCTGCGGACAGCGGACGGAGTTGGGTCAGACACGGCAGGAGACTCAGCGGGCGGGCGGGGGTCACACACTGCGAGACAGCGGTCGGACGGAGTGTCAGACACTGTAACAGCTGATACAGAGGTAGGTAACAGAGGGTCAGACACTGCAGGAAGTCCAAGTTACTGGAAGGGGAGTTATCAGGTAGGGCAACTGATATCACAATGGGTCAGATACTGTATGTTGTGCCCATGGAACGAGGACATATCAATATCATCCCAGCTAAAGCAGCCTGCGCTGAACCTCACCTGTTCCTGAAGCAGTTTGTCACCAGCTCTCCCTTGGACAGGTGGTAGAGCCAGTTGAGCTTCCGGCCGCTGTGCTGTGCCTTGTAGAAGTCAGTGAAGCGGGTGATACTCCTCTCCAGCTGAAACGGGTCAGAGCAGCGTCAGTTAACTAAACTGGGTCAGACTTGGAAACTCCGAAACAGTAGAAAGTACGCGTTTATCGGCTGATGAAGGTAGGCTGCATGGCTGAACGCAGACTAAACGGACGTGTGTTTGTAACACAGAACACGCATTCTATTCGATGTCACACTAAGCGAGTCCAATCAGTCACATGACAGTCTCTTGAACACCAGACCATCGCAATAGGTCAGAATACCAGACCCGAATACTCCACCGATACCGTCACTCACCGCTGGCCACCCCTCCACTGAACGTCACTGTCCAACGACTCACCTGCTGTGGCAGCAGGAAGGTGGCTGACTGGTTGAACGGCCACGAGCCCGACGAGCACACCTGGATGCTGAAGTCCAGGTCCAGGCCGTGCGCGCCATCCGCAGAGTTCAGCCGACGACGGAACTCCTCGTTCAAACCCTTCGAGATGCCCACGTCCTGTGACCGAACGACGGAGTGTTTAGTCAACCGCGGGACTCGCAGCAGCTGGGGTTAACAAAACACGAGTGACAAAAAATCGAGGTCTAGGTAGAACTCCTATTATCCAGCTGACATAACCGACAATTGTCTGGAGTGAACCAGTAAAATAAACGATATATCATTCTTCATGCTAGATTTTGCTACATCCACAGCCCCTCCCACCTCCCTCCTCATCAGTCATGACCGACACTTGACAGTAATAAAAAAACGATCACTCGGGCACACAGAAGTCATCCCCCTTCGCCTCCTCCAGTCATTCCGTGTACCCAGCAGTGCATTGCCCTGACCTGGAACATGCGCTGCAGCTTGCTCGTGTACTCGTATCCGCAGGCCTGCTTCAGTTTGGAGATCATCGAGGCCTCGGCGTCGTCACTGGCCGATATCTGGTGCACCAGCCGCTTGGCCAGCATCTTGCTGTAGAACGTTTGAAAGACATCCTTGTCCTCAATGTACTTGAAGACGATCATCTGTGGCCGCGATGGTAAGGGGGGGTAAATGTCCGAGCCTCGCAGGAATTGAACTGCATGCTCTATCTTATGATGTTTAGTTTGTTGTTGACAACAATAATGTGCCCTTACTACCCAGAGCATAACGGTAACCAGCCTTCATACATTGGGTGTAACAACGCAATGGTCATGAGCTGCTATGACGTGAAATAATTCCAGGAAAAGCGACAAATACGTCACGGTCAAGTACAGAAACCCATGCCGGTTACATCTACTCGTGATTCAGCTCTTAACCTAGAACTAAAGCCTCGGTACACAACAGCCCTCCCAGGATTATCCGTTGTTTGCCGGGTACACAAGGCACTGGTTGTCGAAAGTGACTGTTTAAAACCGCATCACGTTGTGTCAGCAGGGCGCTGCCGCCCGTGCTCCACACAGTCACGCTCCCGGCCCAGTCGGTACTGACCACTTGGTTGAGTATATCCTCTAGCTCGTTCTCCTCGGGGTTTTTGCTACTCTTCCTCAGCAGCAGATCACAGTATCTGGGGAAGGGGGAGACGATGAGTTAAAATTGCGTTCCTACAACATTGTATGTCACGAAGATAAATTATATAACCGGAGATAGTTACATAACCGGAGACCATTACAGAACCAGTTCCTTATTGTTAAATGCAGGCAGCATTACGCAATGGCAAGGAAGGAGGATAGCGTTGCAAGTTGCAACACAAGTATGTTTGGAGCAAAGTCTCACAATATCTTTATTCGCCCCTTTTTTGCCGTGCTCATTGTGCTGTGCAGCGCAGTGCCATGTATTGAGCAGTACGTCACGCGCCGGCGGCGGTCACGACTGGCGCCTCTCCCGACCGGTCCGGGCCTCGCTCGTGATCGAGTCCCGCCGCAATGACGAGTGGACAACTCACGACCCACACGCCCGCCGGGCGCTGCCCCGTGGTCAGAGTAGACGTCGCCCCGCCGCGGACAGGCGGCGGAATTGGACCCGGTCTGGGCTGACACGCCGGCTGACCGTGGCGGTCATAGGCCACACCGAGGGCGGGCTGTACTTTGGCCAGCAAATAGTTCACAAAACAAGAGATAAGAAGAAAACAAAATACAACAAGTCGAGTCGAAGGTAAGGAAATGCTGATTGCGCTTCGCGGCACGGGCAAACAAAAACACAGTCTCACCGTAATTCGCATACCGATGAAGTACGGTGGCCGCCTAAAATAAGAAAATACTTGAGCTCTGGATTCGTCTTTTAGCAGGAAGAGGGCTGATTATTGCAGTAACAGCTCTGTTTTCCGACCTCAGCAAGCGAAAAGAAATGTTAGCAAGGTAGCCAAAATATCATTCTACCAGACATACTTCAGACACCGATACCCGACGTATTCTCATCCACCAAACTCGTTCGGTGAGCGACTTGCCTGGCGAGGAGCTCGGGGCTCTTGGACGACTTGGCGTCCTTTGTGATGGGGTTGTTGTTGATGAACTTGCCGCAGGCCTTGTCCAGCGCCGCGATGAAGCCGGCCTCGCCCTTGAACGCGCCGTTCACCATGTCGTTGTACTTGCGCTGCACGTTCAGGATAGTCTGCACGTACTCCTTGGGGTCCTGTCAGAGGCCAGAAGAAGGGTGAAATGCGCGTCGTATAGGAGGCCGCCATTTTGCTATTCAGAGAATAAATGGCATTTGAGCCTGTAAAGATTGAGCCGTGAAAATATTTAACAGAGTAGGCACAATGCAGCAGAAATAGAGCTACCTACCTACCACCTACCCCATCAACCTACCACAAATAGCGTACTCGATAGCGAAATACGTCAGGGATAATATCCACCCGTTCATGATATCGTAAAAATCGATATCGGGCCAAACTCTAAAATCACGTTCCATTCCAACACCATTACCAATGGTACATTTTAGAAAGAAAAGCTAAAGCTGCCACAGCCCATCACATCATTCCCCGCTCTATCGCCTAGTACCGTCAACCACCCGAGCCACTGCCAGCCACTGTCCCCGGACAGTGACCCGCTCCCCCGGACACTCACGTTAGCTGCCTCGTCGCCGATCTTCTCGATGGCCTGGATGCCCTGGCTAACGATGTGGTTCTGCAGCAGGGAGCGCATCTCGTTCAGGCCGTCAGCTATCCTGTGGAACCGAACACCGGCGTCAGCGCTGCGGCAGCTTCAGTAGGAAGCCGAGCTGCATCATGGACACATTGCAAAAAGTAAAGAAGTTATTCACGTCTGAGTAAAAAAAAGAAGAAGATATATCAAAGGTCGGTCGAGATACACCAACGACACGAGCCAGCGCACATATGACGTGCCAGACAGGACAACTATTTCTGGACTGGTACCGGGGTAGGACGCAGTCAGGAGTGGTACGTCCGTCGGAGTACCATACCAGGCCGACGCCCTCCCGACGACCGACGTACCGCGACACGAGTCCGAACATCCGCTCCAGGTCCTCGTTCTTGTCGTCGTTCAGCAGGTTCTGGAACTCGGTGTGCAGCGTCTCGAGCCGGCGCTGGATCAGCACGCGCTCACACGTCTTGGCCAGCTTGTCGTGCGTGCTCTCGTGGAGGTAGAGCTGGACGCGCCGCTGCTCCTCCTGTAGCCGCGTCTCCGCCTGAGGCGATCACGGACACCACGGTCAGACACGGGCGGGATGGTCAAGGCGAACTCATGGTGCGTCGGTGAGACATACCCTTAGTTTTCAAGAATCACAATGACGTGCGCCAAGCGATCACTTTGCTCTAACCGCACACACACACACACATTACTCCCCACATTGAGCACGCCATTCGGTCACTGTGGGGAGGAATCCGTCACTGCGCCAGCCCCAAAGCTGGTAACTGCCCCACGTATCTCTCACCTTTCGCAGGTACTCTGTGATGGGGTTCTGACTGATGAACTCGGTGCTCTCACGGATGTAGTAGCGCTCAGTATCTTCCAGGAACTGCTTCTCGAACGAGTCGCAGTACACGGTGAGGTTGACGCCCTTGGACGCCGAGTCCTCCTCTTTGAGACCTGGGAAAGGATGACGGAAAATCAGACATGTGGTGGAAGTGAAAAGGTTCAAGTGGAGTTATCATCAGCTGTATCTAAGAAAGGACACTGCCTAATCAAATATAGCAATGTGATGCAACGTAGATTTGCCATAATAAGCCTCGGGGAAGAACCTTCAAAGCCGATAACGATCAACTGTAACTTAATCCTTTTCCTGTCTTCCATACACAGAGCAGGTAGCCGCCACTAAATATCACATAACGGTCACGGACGCTGCGCATTATACTACGCGGCGCGATCGATATAATACATTCGATGCGTACCGAGCTCGACATAGCTGTTGATGACGCCGCTGACGAGCCGCGTGTTGATGGTCTCGCCGTTCCGCTCCCGTTGGATCAGCTTCAGCACGGCGCTGGTCACCTGTGAACGGGAACAGACACCACAGGGCGATCATAGGGGTAAGTCAGTGCAACTCCCGCTGGATCAGCTTCAGCACGGCGCTGGTCACCTGTGGACGGGGAACAGACATAAGACAGTCAGAGGAGCCCGGTCAGCCGAACGAGCTGACAGTATAAACCTATGGTAATATTTGGCAAAATTGAGCGCAAATGTAAACTGCACCACGACGGTACATCAGGCACAAATAGTTAAGGAATCTCCTTCAGAAGCCGTTGTACTTTCTCAAAATATTCTCTACATCTGGTATGCATGCATGGGTTTTGGCATCAGAAGTTCACCAAAACGTGCTCTATATAAAACGACGTCAAATAATTAGCTATGTATCATTTACGCAACAAAAGCAAAAACGGTTAAAAATATAGCACCACACAGACATGCAGCTTTCATTTCAAAACATTCCCACGCCCACAGCTACAATAACAACCCCGCCCCCGGCAGTGTCTCTAGCTGACGTAACCGCCAATCAGCTGTTGTAGGGGCGGGGGGGGGTCCTCTGACTGCGGCGCAGATGAGACGTCACTACACGGCCCGGCTCGGCCCGGCCCGGCCGCTGAATCAGCGCCGCTGGCACCGGTACAAAGGACAGGTAGCCCGGCGGGCGGCACAGCTGGGCCACCATAGCAAACCGCACGGAAAGGCGCGGGGGAGGGGGCCGCATGGACACTGATTGATTTAGCGACCCACTTTTCAGACCAACGTACTCTCATGACTAGCACCGGTCCTACCAGCAATCCTACTGTAACAGTCCTATCAGTCCTGCTTACACCCCGTACACTCACGCACATAACCGCTTGTCGAACTCCCGCCGCTTCGGTCATCCCCGTCCAGTCCCTCTCCATCCGGTCCGTCCACGCACCTGTTTGTTGAGCGGCTTGAAGAGGTGCTCCCGCCACGTGTCCAGCGCCAGCTGGTAGATCTCGTAGATGTCCTTGCGGCCCTCCTCGAGCTCGCGGCGCACCCAGTGCCGGTTGATGTAGGAGCACACGCCGTTCAGCACGTTCGAGCTGAACTGGTACTCCTCCCAGTTGCGCGTGTAGAACTGCAGCACCGGCTCGTCCATCAGCTCCTTGCCGTCCTGCCAAGGCGAATGTGGAACCTCAACCTCCGAAATATAACCGCGAGCCGGTCCGTGATCAAACGTCATCGACAACAACAAAGAGCCTCTGGTGCCAATTGATAATGTCACGCATTGTTTACATCAGAGGTCATCCACACCTGACCAAGGCCTTCAGGGGGTCAATCAGCCCTGACACAAACGACAACCCCTCTACCGCTCCTACAAAATACCGGTGTTCAGCATTTGCGTTTAACACATTTTTAAAGGTCAATAGACATGCACCTTTTCGTCGCCGTTGTACAATGCGTAGCGGCGTAAAATGCGTTAATTGATAAAGGGATTCGCACATACCCGTGATTTATAGCGTCTCGCCACTTAAAGCGACAATACGAGGGGAGGGGAGGTAGATATCGTGAGACAGCCTTCACTCCCCTGAGCCCCCTAACTTAGAAAGGGAAGTCAATCAAAAAAAGATTTAAACATAATGCAACCGATATCTTAACAAAACGAAACATAACCGCATGACTGAATCGAACTGCAGTAGGTAACGTAATTAGTTTGGGCCCGGGCCGTTATATAATAGATTAGGTCACTGGAAAGTGAAAAACTAGTGTGAATATGTCGACTCCACCGGACCGAGAAGAAACACGTCCGTCACGGCGTCACAATAGCGGCCCGCCACCACCCGTCACTAGAAGCCGTGCTGTCACGACAGACGACATACGGTGACTGTCCGTCTCTCCTCTCTACCCCTCCCAAGGCGTTCCCGATTAGAATTCGGTCGGCCGGATCGGCCACCCCGACTCCCGTTGCCCGGATCGGGAAAATCGACACAATCAGACGGAAACACATCGTCACGACTGGGAAACGGTGCAGAACATACGCTGCCGACCGCCGCACCGTCTCGGCGCCGTTTGCGTAATGGATGATGGATGATGGATGATTGCTGAAAGGTAACTGCACGTAACATGCAGTACCACCACCAACTACCGCACCATATCTAGAGCGAGAATTTAAATAATAATAATAATAACGCACTTTCAACCATTATCGTGAAGCGCTTCCCAAAGGCTCACTACCACAGACAACGACGCTCCATCCTCACCTTTAGTAGCTGCATCAGGTACGTTTTGAAAAAGTCGCGCAGCCGTTTGTAGAGCTCATTGCCGACGATCTGCGCGCCGCTGTTACACGCATTGCCCTTCTTGGTCTTGCCCGACGAGGCGCGCGAGTTGGGCTGCTGCTGCTGCGTCACGCTGGTGCAGTAGTTGTAGACGAGTGTGTAGAGCTGCACATAGCGCCGCTTGCTCATCGAGCGGCAGCTGTAGACGTGCTCGATGCCGCGCCGCAGGTCGCCCCATATCTCGTCCAGCTCTGTCTGCCGCGTCTGGTGTGATCCTTGGCCCAGATGGCGAGACATCGGGATCATATCTGCGCCGCGGACGGTGACGCGATGGTCAAACTACACTGGAATTATTAGGCTGGTGGCAGCCTTGACAATAACAGAGCATGTGGAGAAGTGTTATACTGGCATGTTTGCAATATTTGTATATGAATTTCATACGCACTTGGGAAGGTTTCTTGTTCACATCATAACAGTTAAACAAAAACGTGAGAAAACCTTTAAAGGCTTGATTTGCCAATGTTCCAAAAATATTCCAATGCCTTTCACATTCAAAAGATGCATACAATGCAATTAATTCCTGACAACCACTCATAAACCATTTATAGCACTTTTATTTCTATGAAACTGCTGCAATACACTAGCTAGCTAGGTACCTTATAAAACCTATCTATTTTTATTTGAGGGGATTAATTAGGTGTGCAAATATAGTATTCCAGATTCTCCCTCTGCTTGGAAGATTAATGTTGCTCATCATTGTTAAACCATGGAACTGGCGAAAATGAAAAAAATGACGCATTAAAACCATCTATAAAAATCACTTGTATTTAATAGTTAAGCAAACTTACCAGCTAGAAAACAAATCTATCAAATCTTGTCAGCCAAATGCTAGTCATGCCTAGCATGAGGCTGAATACAGAACAGAGTACAGGGCCTCATGCACCTTGTAGGCAGACTGAATAAGTAAAAATGTTAACCCTCGCCGGCCGAGGGGGGGGGGCGGGTGCCGCCCCCCCCCCATAGGTTTTTTTCGCGATAGCTCCGAACACGCTGGCGATAGAGAGCTGAAACTTGGCATACCTGACCTTTGATCCAAGCCGCATCTTTTGACATCAACCGCATTTTTGGGTCAGGTCAGGTCACTGACCTATGACGTCATAAGTGAACCTCTGCACGGTCTTCAGATGTCGCAACTTCGCAACGCTCTCACTGCCAGAGGAGATGTCACAGGGAAATGAAACTTGCAGGATCTAGTATCCATTATGAGTCCCACAACTTGTATATCTCGGATTTTTCCTAAAGGTCATATGAGGTCAGGTCATTTTCGTGACCTCACCATTATAAGTCAATGGGGAAAAATGAAAACTGCTATTCTGGCGCCGGGAGCGATCTCCAACTATCTCAAGCACACAGAATCGTGATTTTATGCACTCCTTGCAAGGTTAGATGCGTCACTTTTTCAATGCTGACCTTGCGTGACGTCATTTATGACGTCATCAAGGTCGTATTAGTTTTTCGTCAATAACTCTTGATCAAATTGAGCTAGCGAGTCGGGAAAGCCACCAATGGACTCAGGAAGACCTGCCGAATCGAATGATATGCGAAATGACCTCTTTCGACCAACTTCGTGACCTGGGGGTGCTGACCTGACCTTGACCTGAGGTCAACACCCCAAGTTGACCTGACCCGGACAAAAAGTATATCATTCGACGCGCCTGAGCGAGACGAACACGATGCTGCCAAAATCGGCGCTCTGCGGCCGTTTTTTGCGAAGTTATTCACCAAAAACTGAACCGTACCTTGGGGCACTTGACCTGACCTCAGAGGTCACCGGTTGACCTAGGACCTTAAAATCGGGTACCAATCTCTGCGTCTCGTAACGGCGCACACGCTCGTTTTTTCCGCGACGCGCTAGCTCCACCAGGGGCGAAACGGCGAGGGGGGGTCGTACCCGCCCCCCCCTCTCGGCCGGCGCGTATGTAGAAAACCAATAGGTCCGGCGAGGGTTAAGATGAATAAGTGCACATTATTCACCAGTGGAGATTTTCCACTGGTGAATAATGTGTACCTATTGATCTACTGAAAAATATGCTCTATTGAAAAAAATACTTGCTCTCCACTGGAGAGCAAGTTCCATGACATGTGTTTGTTCAAGAGCACTAAATCTAGGTACCTATATAAAGTAAAGAAATTTGAAATGGCATGAATATGCTGACAAAAGGTAAAGTATCTGCAAGCCTATGTATCAAGCTTTCAGTGTTCAAATAACAGTAAACCTTAGATCAATATAACAATGTTATTAGGAAAGGATTAGGTCTCAAAATATTCAGCAATAGTCTACAGATACCTACAGCATAAGTATCATTGAATAAGGGCAAAGTAAAATGCATTTGCAATTTTCACTGACTAGACCTTCCTCAAAAAAAAACCTAAAATTTTAAAAAATATATGCACCCATGATAAGTATCATATATCATATATCTGGAAAAACATCCAATATTCATCAGTCTTCGATCAATAGAAGCAGAGCTAGTTTAAAGTAATGATCCAGTCCAATAGGCCTGCCACTTGGCCTTGAAATTCCATGTACTTCTAAGGTAAGGTAAGGTATATTTAAAAAAAGCCAACAACAGTATCAGCCATGACGCATAGGCATCATCGTAGTATGTCGTCAAAACCCGCTTTTCCACAAAGTGATACCTAAGCAATGAAGTTTTCCTGCTTGCATTTTGCATGCAAATATAAAAAGAAATTGATATTTCATAAAACATCGTTGTTCCATGTTGTATCGCGAAACAAATGAACACAAAACTCGAAAATATCAAAGAAAATCGCACTTATACCAATGCGACGCATCGACAGACACACTTCGCTGATCAACCCGAGGGGTGTTCACGGGCACCGCACACTGCTGCGTGCGGTGTGTGCGGTGCGTCCAGCAGGCGTGGGGGTAGGGGATGGGTAGGCGGCTCTGACGTCACGGCTGCGTGCGGTGGACGGTCCGCTGTGGCCAGTCCCGACCGGCCACAGCGATCGCTGTGTGCGGTGACGGAAGGCTGACGTAGGGACGCAGTGGGCGGAGCTTGGAGGCTGTGTGCGGTCCGACCGCACACAGGAGGGCTGTTCACGGGCCCTGTGTGCGGTCGGACCGCACACAGCCTCGAAGCTCCGCCCACTTCGTCCCTACGTCAGCCTTCCGTCACCGCACACAGCGATCGCTGTGGCCGGTCGGGACTGGCCACAGCGGACCGTCCACCGCACGCAGCCGTGACGTCAGAACCGCCTACCCATCCCCTACCCCCACGCCTGCTGGACGCACCGCACACACCGCACGCAGCAGTGTGCGGTGCCCGTGAACACCCCTAGGGCCCGTGAACAGCCCTCCGTATAATGTGGCGGAAGTAAGCTGCATCAAAAGAACTTACCTCAAAGAGACTACAAAATGTTGTTTTTGTTTGGTGGATTACACATTAATTACAAATGTTAAGGAAAACCTCGATATCACAATTCATTGACAAAGAACGTCCACAAAAGAAATCTCACTCGCTTTCTCAACAAAAACTTGCAGCCTCACACTACGCGAATTTGGTAGCACTATCGCCAGGCTGTCTAAAATAAAACTCTACGCTGCCCAATTTTAGGTTCCTTTACTCTCCTTTTGTGTAAATGCACCCGAAAACAAAAAAAAGACGCAATGATGACATTCAAACTACGTTTAATTCAAACAAATATATGCTTTTTTATAGATAATTGAACCCTTTTCGTCGAAATAAATGGAAAAGAAAAGGAATTTTTTGGCTACTTTGAAGTTTACTTTTCTTTTGTAGACATATCTGGCGTGACTATGATGTTTAATCGCTAAGATTTCTTGTGCTTTTTTGCACGCTCTTTTCGTCCGTCGCGGGGCCGGCCTCCACATCACTGAGTCTGAATCTCTATAAGTGCATTGATTGAATTTTTCTTATTTTCACGTGATAAAGAGCTAAAAATGGAGCTTAATGATGTGATGGAGGCGTTCCGATTTCCCTGGTTATTTTTCGTCTGTGTTCCGCTACTTTTGCTGATGGCGTCACCTGCGCGTGGTTCACACGAAATCCCGGTATTTAGACTGCAGCAATTCGATCTGTCCGGATCATCCTATGGTATGTGAAATAGTTTTTCTTATTTAAATGTATTTAGCATTAAGTTTATGACCTTAATTTTTTAGATAAACTTATCACATGTCATTGATGTAGCACCGAACAAGTAACAGGACATCTTGCACTGGCTTCACATCGTGTTGGCCATGAAATAATGAGGTAGAAAAGTTGAGATTAAATGGTGTACATGCATGCTTGCTCATTTTTCATTTAGTCACTGATATAAGTAATCTTTTAAAGAAAGATTTTTACCTTCATCTAATCTGTTTTTGGTTATCAGTTTTTAACATTAAAGCCAATGCCTATACCTGCTCTAATATTTCTCTATTTTTGAAAAAAAAATTGTGCCTGGTTGCTACCTATTTCTTGAAAACTCAAAAGAGAAAAGTCAGCAGAAAGGTTCTTACTGTCGTTTGCATGGTTTACAGGTAGCCGTGCCTCAGCCCTGAGTCTGGAAGCCACCACACAGTTGAGTTCCACACCTTCTCGCCAATGTCTCATAGTCCGGCTCAAGCAACTGACCTTGGAAATAGCCAAGGATCTGCTGGGAAAAGGTCCTGGTGGATTACTCATATTGATGCCAGAAACACTGGAAGAAATCACGTCTGACCAGAGAACTGTAAGTTTTTTTTTTGTTAGAAATAAGGCTATGCTGTCAGCTATGTCATTCTGGGCATCCATGTGTGGCTTTATCGCAGTTATTTACATAAATATAATCATAAGATCTTTGTTGCTCTAAGTGAATATTTATGACAAGGTCTTGATTTTTGAATCCATTGGATCTCAGTCTGTGAGTGATGTGTAAATGTGTTTGATCTATGACCATGTAAATTACCTATGTTGACAGCTAAAAATGAGGTATTTTTGATATCTCAACATGCAACCTGTTATCAACAAGGCTTTCTGTTATCATTGTTGACAAATATGTGTATACCCTGTCCTGTGCTGATAATTTAGGTAATGTTTTTCTCAATGATTCATAGTGTCATATAATGCATATTGTTGCTGGTATAGAAATATTCCAAATGAGTTATAGGCATCATTGTATGCCACATGATATAATTCATTATGACAAAATAGGTGTTTTCTATTGTTATTATTGGATGTTGCTTATGTTATGTCCCTTTTAAAGACTTCAGGAATATCTGGTCATCCATTTATGTAATTTGTTGCCCAACCACTGAAGGGCAACAAATCTTCCCTATTGTTTCATTCCTGCCCTGCTATCTCACCCTGCTGATTTCGCCACTGCCCGGGTGACTCTCCGGCAGATTCTGCACCACGTGGAGCAGTACCTACTGTCCGAGTCGTTCGCAATGCCCGTCTACTTTGCCGTGGAGACTGAGGAGGTGGTGGAAATGTACGAGGCGATCGAGCACAGCACCGCCTCGGCCGCCACCCGCTCTGCCACAGAGGGTCAGTGCCGAGTGGTGTCACGTAGCTTACACAGATGCCCCTTATGCTGTATTAAGTCGCTAGACATGCTATGTGAGACCATATGGGAGTTTTTGTAGCATTTTGTGTGTGCTCACTGGGCACACCTTGCACATGACATCCCTCACGCAGACGAATAGTCAGTCGCACGAGGAGCTCGACTAGAAAGGTTTCTAAAGGCCTCTGGCCTATCCAAATTCCGTACTTCGTTAGTAAGTAAGTAAGTAAGTATTTTGAAACGCTGTTCATTATTTTCCGGTGCCCGGTGTATCACAGCTCTGTTTCTGCGCACTGCTCGCTGTCCGGTGATTTCCTAATGACCTGGTGACCCGTGCTGCAGCCCTGCTGGCGGCGATCCTCTCCACGGGCTACCAGCTGGAGGTGGCCGGCTCAGCCTCCACGCCTCTGTCCGGCGCCCAGCAGCACAACATCGAGGGCCGCCTGCAAGGTGTGGGTGTGGAGGAGCAGCTGCCGACGGTGATGCTGGTGGCACACTACGACGCCATGGCCGCCGCGCCGGTCAGTACGGGGCGGGGTGGGAGCCGGGGATTAGAACGCTACTGTGCACTGGGCAGACAGCTGTAGTGGGTGGTGTTTTGAATATTCTTTTTACCTGGTAGTGAATGCTGAATATTTTCCATATTGTTGATGTTTATCTTTATAATAGCGTGTAACAGATTTAACGACAGGATGATGATTGCTGGTATTTTGGTCGTGACTACACATATTGCAGTATCAGTATGTCGATCTCCTCCAGCGCCTATTCCTGGGCCCTGTTTCACCGGTGATAGCAGCACGCCGATTTTACGACTTGTCAAATTGGGTTTCCATGGAAACATCAACAGGCCCATTGCTCCAACACTACCACAAGTGTGACGTCAGCTCGCGCAATTTGATAGCAGCGTGGTAGCAGCAGCCCGTGAAACACGGCCCTGTCCTGTCTCTAACCACCTTTCTTCCCTGGTTTCCGTCAGGAGCTGTCGTTCGGCGCCGACTCCAACGGTTCCGGTGTGGCCATGCTGCTGGAGCTGTCCCGTCTGCTCAGCAAGCTGTACCGCAGTCGCAGCACGCACCCGCGGCTCAACCTGGTGCTGCTGCTGTCGGCCGCCGGCAAACTCAACTACGCCGGCAGCCGGCACTGGCTGGACGAGAACGGCGACTCGCTGGAGACGGCCGCCTCGCAGGGCGTCCAGTTCGTGCTCTGTCTGGACAGCCTCGCCCAGGGCGACACCGTCAGTCTGCACGTGTCCAAGCCGCCCAAACCGGGCAGCTCCGGACAAAAGTTCTACGAGGTGAGCGGGGAACGGCAGCCCGGAGATCGCGTTTTTGTATCGATTTTTTTTATGAGAGATGACGTTTTTGTGTATCGTTTAGCATAAAAATGGAGTGTTTCTGCTTATGTAGGTATATCATAGCGGTATCTCGCCTATATTCTCCACATTACCTTGAGTGCATGGGTGCGCCTGTTTGACTGAGGTGGTGCTGACGTCTTTCCGCTTCCGTCAGGCACTGCGAGCATCTGCCGCCGAATTTGCCCCGGAACTGAACGTCAGCATGGTCCACAAGAAGATCAACCTGGGCGACCGCTCACTGGCCTGGGAGCACGAGCAGTTCAGCATGCGCCGACTGCCCGCCTTCACTTTGTCTCACTATGAGGTGGGTCCTCGTACGCTCAATGCCAGGAGATGCGGGTAAATATGAGTCTCAGGTGTGCTGGTGAAAATGGTCGAGCTGAGGCTGAGGCATTGTTCGGCATAGGACTAACTAGGTACGTGAGGGTCCATTGATAGGGCTAGTGCACTGGGTCATGTAACGGTTGAAGTGCTGGAGCAAACAATGGAATGTTACCGATGGCTATCTGCCGCGAATGCCCACAGATAAGAGAATATGTTGACTTTCCTGCTCGAAATAGTATCGGCCCTTTATTTTGTGAAGATGACTTTGAAATGGTCATATCAGTTGGTCGCACCACGCACACAGATAGTCATCTTGCTGACCTCTTTTCAGTGTTTGTTATAGCTATTGCGGAAGTTTGCATCCATCCACCATAATAACCGTGTTTGGTGCACACATGAGTCATTCTGTCGGCAGTGTCTGACTCGTCCCTCGGTGCTCCAGGAGGCGGGCCAGCTGGAGCAGCGCACTCTGCTGGACACGCGGCCGGCCGTCGACGACTCGCGGCTCGCGCGCAACACCCGAGTGGTCGGCGAGGCGCTGGCGCGCTTCATGTTCGAGCTGCCGTTCGCCGCCGAGGGCACCTCGACGTCTGCCGTGCTCACAGAGGAAATGGTGAGACAGCGGGTCTGGTAGAGGGGATCGTTCTGATAGCTGAGGAAATTGCCAGAATAGCTGGAAGAGGGTACCGCCTTGTACCATGACTATGCATAACAGAGGAATGAGATGACTGTTGTTCACTATTCCTCTGCTAGATACTTAGCTTTAGAGAGTCCAAGAGCCAGGATAGCCGTGGCGGGCATAATTGATGTCTATCAACGTTCCCGACCCTGCTGTATCTGGCTCCGCTGTGTGACCGCCTGTCGCTGTGTACTTCGACAGGCGGTCTCTGAGGAGGCGCTGGCCGGCTGGCTCAGTTTCCTGGCGTCGGTGCCGCGGCCCGCTCAGCTGATGACGGAGGCCTCCAACCCCGTGGTGACCAGTCTGAAGGCCGCCCTGCAGAGGTGAGACCGGACAGGGAACGCGGGATGAACGGTGTTGGTACTCGGTAAATGGTGCAGCTGTTGTTTGACCAGCTGGTCGGTATCGTGAACAAAAGCGCCAATTATTGAACAAGTTATTACGAGCGAGCGGGCGCAGCGAGCGAAGCGAGTTTTTTCAATATAACGGAAAAATCTCAGTATGAGCGGCCCGGCCCGGCCCGGCCTGTAACGCTTTTGAGAGGCTTATATCTCAGCAACCGCCTGGACCGATTGGCCTGCGGTCTTTTTTGCTGGGTAGCCCCATCCCTTCTACCCCGTAATTGACTACTTTTGATACATCTCAGTGACCGTCGTGGCACGTGCCACGTGAAAAGTCAAGGGTGTTCAAGCTGTTTTGCAAAAGTAGTGATTTTTGAGAGGCCCATATATTCTCAGCAGCCGCTTGGGCGATTGTCTTGCGGTAATTTTTCTAGGGGAGCTGCATCCCTTCTACCAAAGGTCGGATACTCTTGATCTGTGTGATTGACCCCCACTGCACGTGCAAAATGCAAAAAGAAGAGGTGCCAAATTTGTTCCCATTTCAATAACTCGGTAATGACTGGGGTGATTTCGCTGAAACTTGGCATACAGGTAGGCACCCACCAGGCAATGCATTCCCATGTGTTGCGGTTAGGGTGCTACTGCACGTGCGCAGGTGCAGGGGCGCTCCCAGATCTCGAGAACGGCCGGGCCGATCGCGCTCAAATTTGGTACACGGTTGGTGACCAGTTAGTAGGGTGCCGTGCAAAAGTCAGTTTAGACTAGAGGTGGCAAAATGTGGACCCGAGGACCCGGTCCAAAGAACCAGTCTGGACCCATATGGGTCCAGACCGGTTCCTGGAAATTTTCTGACGGGTCCAACTGGGTCCTACCATAAACTATATATCTTGCACACTACACATTATTGCAAAATATGATGTAAATGAAGTGAATGTTTCTTTGCACACAGTAGCTCATGAGTATTCCCAATGGGAAATAGGCTGTTATACATGATGCAACTAATGATGTCTACAAGTAGTTTGTATTAATTGACTTTTGGGGACCGGGTCCAACTGGTTCCGATTCCAACTAAGACCGGGTCCGACTGGTTCCAGAAATGTCCGGCCGGGTCTGGTTCGAGTCTGGTTCCCAAAATTTTCATCTTTTGCCACCTCTAGTTTAGACCCCGTTTGCACGTGCGCACGTGCAGAATGCCGCTTCCAGATCTCAGGAACGGCTGGGCCGATTGCGTTCAAATTTGGCACACCGCTAGCGACCGGTTAGAAGGGTGCTTTGCACAAGCCCGTTGGAAGTACCCTCTCGCCCTTCCGCACGTGCAGGACCTCGTTTCATAAAGCGAGTCCGTAACTTACGCCGGTTTTTGGTCTTGTATTGTACGTGCATGTGAAGCGATGACGATAGTTTGAATCGTTGAATTTGTTTATCTTGCAAGCAAGAACAGAAGGGAGAAGAGGAAATAAATTTATCGCTTCACATGCGCTTGCAATACAAGCCCAAAAACCGGCGTAAGTTACGGACTCGCTTTATGAAACGAGGCCCAGGGCTCACTATCTCGCTCGCTCGTTCTTCGCCCAAAAGGCGTTTTACTGGTAATATCTGATTAGACTGTTGCACGATACCTTTATCTGCAGTCTGAATGCTGTGCATGAGTCTAATTATGCTAGAAATTTACTTGCTTTTCGTGAGCTCAGTCAGCTGGAACGAGTGTGTCGCAATCAGCTCGCACAGTATACCAATCCGCAATCCGCCCGCACGTCTGGGCGGAAGTCTCTAGCGGCCATCTGTTTTCCGTGTATCGTCCACCTAGCCAGCTGTTCTGCGGTACCACACCTGACCCACTCCCCTCTCCCCCTCCTCCATTCAGGGACGTCCACGACGTGCGCGTGTCCTCGTTCTCCGCCGACCGGCGCGAGCCGGACTGGGTGCTGTTCGGAGCCACGCGCGCCACGCTGGCTGCCCACCGCGTGAAGCCAGCCGTGTTTGACCTGGCCGCCACAGCCGCCATTGTCGCCTACCTGGCGGTGGTGTACCTGGCCGTCACCAACTTCCATCAGCTCTACGCACTGGCGCAGCGCATCTCACCCGTCTTCAAGGTGCGCGTCGAGTGAGAGAGGGAGAGAGGAGGAGGAGAGAGAGAGAGATGGAGGAGTGGCCGGACTTGCCCCGAAGTGTGCTCAGGGTCTGCCCACGCCCGTGTATCGAGTATCGTCCGAGATTTTGTTTGAATGTTTGTTTCTGCCAATGCCGTGGCGTCAAAACGTTACGTATCAATTTTATTTGCTGTGATTTGAGAGAGCAGTCATTTCGAACGGTGTGTTTTGTTGATTTCATGATTGAATGATAAGCAATATTTCGCTTCGAACCAGAGAAGGAAGCCGGGAGGTTGTTCAATGGCGCTGGGGTATTTTGATTATCCTGTTTCGGAAGCGCCCGCAGTCTACATACAGTCGTCACTATCGATTACGTGTAATGTGTTTGAACCCGGCTCCAATCCCGCTCGTAATCCGTAGATTCATACCATGTGCAGGGTACCTACCAGCCGACGATATTTCGAGCGTTGTTTCGCCGCTTTCGCCCGACAATTAGCCCCGACGTCACTAATGTGACGTGGCCCGTCCCCGAGTATGTTCTGTTGTTATGGGGCATCACCGTGCACCGCGGACCGTCCCGGGAGTTGCCATGACGTGTCAGTCATGTCAGCCGTGTCAGCCCCGATGTCACTAGCGCGTGACACGCCATCATTCGTCTACCATCGCATATACTCGGAGTGTGGCGTGGCGTGCCTGGGGTGTAGCGCGGATGTATAGCGAGCCAGGGGTGTGGTGGTGTGTAGCGTATCTGGGGGTGCGGTAACACGACGTAACGTACCTGGGGAGACGGGCCTGTACCGCGCCGTCGCGTCCTGTAGCGTGCCTGTGTGCGTGTGTGGGTCGGCGCGATGCGAGTGTGTGCCTTGTCGGTCCCGGCCAGCCCAACTGTATAACCGTACTCGTGGGTTGTACGGGAACGGCCGGCCGTCAGCTCCGAACATTTGGAACGAGGGCATTGACAATCGAGCCGTCGGCGACAGTGCCCTTTTATAAACCCGCTGCAATATATCTCGGCTATACGAAACTTCCCATGGTTTTTTCTGGCTTGGTTGACGTGTTGGCTGCGGAGAAGGGCGTTTGACGTGCCGATTCATCCGTAAATGGCACGCTTTTATGTTGTTAACTCGTCTGAGAAAATCATTGAGCATTTTTATTCATTCCGTTAGGAATAAGCAGTGTGAGCGTGATAAACCACCTCGCGGCACATCGAAAAGGCACGGCTTGCATAATGCATAATCACCCGACAAGGAAAGACCTGTGCGTACCATACACGTCTATAAACTGGCAGGCAAGCCAACACGCTGACATTAGAGCGCAGTCGCGTGTTCCATGCATCCGTTGGTGTATGAACAAATAGCCTATTCGCCGATCCATCCTAAAGCACTCCTTCGCACGGTCCCCCGCCAAACTCGACAGGGCTAAACTTAGCCGGAGTCGGCCAAATATCAGCAACGATGCACATCACTTCACGTGGCAGTTATAGCCAATACTGTCGTGTTCTTGGCGAAATACGCCCAATAAATAACAATAACTTCGCATTCAATGCACGACGATCAGCCGCAACACACAGCAAGAGGAATGTAAATCGCTCTGAGAGCTGGGGCAGTTATCAGGGGACGTCTTAAATAGGCAGCTGTGTTATAAATCAGGGTGAGCTAAGCATGATCGTAGGCCGGCATATCAGATCATTCAAGTGATAAGCGTGTTTCAACGGCACAAGGCTGGCTAGATTTGCTTGCACTAGTAAAGCAGCGTCTGACACCGTCATTCCTGTGCCATTCACAAAGCCAATCGTGTATCAATCTTTGCGAAATAATCAACGAAGCCGGAATAACTTGTTGAGCTTGCAAAACCACGGTGGTCAATCAAATGCAGCTTCCGAATTCATGATCTCGTCTCTAACAGAGCGGAGACGGTCTGGGTTCACTGTTGCTGAATCAGGTAGAGCAGCGCCGTCTGCAGCGAGGTGAGGCAGTAGCCCTGTTCGCCCTGGAAGCTGCCGTCCGACATGAACTCGGAGATGAACTGCAGCTCGGAGAGCAGCTGCGGCGCGGCCGAGTGCACCACCAGCGCCGTCAGCCGCGGCAGCAGCACGTCGGCGCCGGCCGGCCCGTCGGCCGTGTCGCACAGCGCGCGCGCCAGCTCCACCAGCAGCCGGCACTTGTCCGCCGGACTGGTGGCCAGCAGCAGGCGGCGCAGCAGCAGACGGTGCGGCCGCGCCGGCACCGGCTGGCCGCCGCCGGCCGCCAGACGCGTCAGCGCCTCGGCCAGCTGCCGCTCCTGGCGCCGGTTGGCCAGCCGGAACAGCACGAGCAGGTGCGGCCAGAGCGGCGTGAACAGCACGCGCTGTACGACCGGGCGGCTGTGGGCGCCGGACAGCGCCGGGTGCACGGCGCCGGCCAGCGACACCAGCAGCCGCTCACTGTCCTGGGTGTCTGCGGGGAGGCAGAGGTGATGGTCAGGATCACGAGCAGCCGCCGAACGGCGACTGGAGTTGTGCGTTGGTAAATGTAAAAGTCACAACACATATTGAGATTGGAAAACAAAACAAAACCTTTTGCTTTATCTAGTCAGGTTAAATTTGAATCACACAAGAGCTTACTTATAGAAGTATAAGTAATCTCGAAACTGAAAGCCTTCTAAATAAATAGGGATCTCCTTAATTTCCAACGCGATATATTGCGAGTACGTAACTTTCCATTGGCGGCGAGTTCAGCGTGCAAAGTACAATCCTATCTCAATAAACAGACTACCAGCTGTAATAACAGCCATTTATCTTCATCGATTTATATCGATCCACTAAGAAGAGTGACCAGCTGTACCGACACGAACGGACCACACACGACTCGGTCGCCTGCGTACACCGGGCTGCCCGCTAGGTACCGGCAATGCTCGACTCCTGGCAGTGTTCCCTGTCACGGTGTGTACCTGTCCCCAGGAACACTCACCGGATATGACGTTTCTCAGGTGCCTCCTGAACGCCTCGTCCTGCTGCTCGCGCTCTTGTCTATCCACGGCGTCCTCCGGGCCTACCGCTCCCTCCGCGCCGCCGCTCTCTCCCTCCCCGTCCTCTTCCAACAGGCTCGGCCACAGCCCGGCCCTCTGCCCCCCGTCCACCGGCGCCGGCTCCGGGCTCCAGGCGGGCACCCGGACGGCGTCCAGCAGGTGGGCGTGCTGCTCCACCAGCGGGTTCAGTTTGCAGTACAGCGAGTACTGCAGCCGCTGGCGCAGCTTGGAGAGCGGGTGCGACTTCTCCAGCAGCATGTGCAGCAGCGCGTTCTCGACGACGCCGCTGCTGTCGGGCTCGGCGTCCAGACTGTCACGCAGCTGGCGCGTCCACGGGTGGCTCTGCTCGAACTGCAGGATGTCGGCGAGCGTGGCCTGCTTCTGCAGGTACTCGGGGCTGGGGTGGCCGCCGGGCGGCTCCTCCGGCAGCACACTGACGGCAGAGCAGACAGGGCGTGAAGGAACTCGGTAGCAGACAGGCGGTATTCCAGCACGAAACTGAGTAACAATAAACTCCGTACTTTCTATTCATATGAAGTAACAATAAGCTTCGTACTTTCTATCCATATTAAAAAAGGACTCTGAATAGAGATACACACGAAGACGAAATTATATGCAAGTTGATAACCCAATGTAGGACAGCTTTTTATGTTTTGTTCCTGTTACCAAATGGCAAGTATCAAACGCGCCAAGCGGTAGAATGCTGTTTGTTTATGTTTCGATGGCATTAGATGGGAACGCGGAAATAACCAAGACATAATGGGAACGGGGAAGTCAAAGGCCCAAAATACAAGTGAACTTGGTGAACCTTGCACCATGGTATAAACATCTAGCCTACAAAAACGCTATGAATGTCATTAACACGGAGGGTCCAGCTGTCTTCCCTTAATAATGATAATAAACACGAAACAGACCATACACGCACCGAACTACAAACCCGGAAGAACCACACTTACTCACTGGCTCCACATGTCCCAGGAATTAGTAGACATTAAGTCACAATTTCCACAGATCCCATAACACTCACCGTCGCCTTTGGGGCATGGGTCTACGCCCCGCTCTAGACCGAGCTACCGTTGAAATCATCTCTACACGCGGCACAGATTAGAGGGTCGGAGGAGCTGCGAGCGGCACAACCTCCGCGCTCCGACCTGACCGCGCTCTGGTGCAGAGTGTCACCGGGTGGCAGTGCGCGTCAAACACCCCCGTCCCCTCCCTCTCCGTGCTGCGTCTGAGTCACGCTCCATCCCAGTCCCGTGACCACTGGGTACCATAAAGACGCCGGCCGGCAGGAAGCGGAACGGGAGGGCGGGAGGGACGCGCTACTGCAGAGATGGAGCTCCTGCAGGGTGCATACAGCGGCGACAGGATGTTTTTGTCTCCCTTATCGCCGGCAGCTGGATAAGGACATGTGCACCCAAAGAAGCGGTCCCGTGTCCGCTGTGCTGACCGGATTCTGCAGTGGTGACCGACCGGGGACTGCGCCGGCGGGAAGGGATCAAACCCGTGACATACGGCGTAAACGTTACAAACCGGAAATATCTGGAATTGGAGCCTGATCACACTGCTTCATGGTGTCTAAACCTTAGGGTAACAGCCATTAGGTATCGGGCCGGACCCGACATGTTTCATTTTCCGTCAGTTTTCAAGTGCAGTAGGTGAAGGGAGTCAGAATGCAGCAATGATTTTCAGGCGTTCGCCAGAGAGTAAGGTCCATACATCATGATACACCGTTTAGTGGTTATCGTAACTCTGTTCCGGTTACGGGTTACGCCCCACTATAAGCTGAAGGCCGGCCATCTGAGAGAGTAAGTCTCATTGCCGGTGTCACAGAACTCCGTTAGCTGCACTAAAATACCACAATGCCACCACCCCATGTAACTGACCGTTTGGCAAGCCGCAGGAAGTGCTCTCGGGACTCGAGCCGCCGCTGCATCCACGCCTGGTGTTTGACGGCGGCCAGCTGCCGATTCTCAGTGAGTCGGCGCTGCAGCTCCAGGCTGTCGGACAGAACCGAACACAACTGACGCCCACCGGTATCGTGACGGTGGGTATGCATGGTGAGAAGACATTTTATGATAATGTAATTGAATGCAGCTAGTAAAACAGCAGCGCTAAAAACAAATATTTTAAGATACCAAACCATAAAAGGCCACCATGCATACAAAAATTACCCACGAAGGAAAATGACATAAATGTAGCTACACACACAGCTTTCGAAGAAAGCCAGACCGCCGTTAAACACATAGTCATCGCATGATGTTGGAGCCGGGTCAGCGACATACATGACACGAGTACTACCAAACTAGTCTCATCTGGTTATCTTTCACATAACACAGTGAGCATTATGGCCGGTTCTCGGGTTATACTAACACACCGACGCTGAGTCACATTCCGGCCCGTCACTCCTGTTCATATAAGCCGAGCTGATGTGAGCCAGTCTCGAGGCGGCGCGTGGCACACGGTGATGGCTCTTACCAACTTATGTAATAAATCAGCACATGCCAAATCTCAAACATCATAACACAGGCAGCAAAAGAAGTGCATCTGATAGATGGCTGGTCAGAGAATGTACAGAATACAGATGTCTGATAAAACAGGCTCTGGTTTTTTTCACATTTTTCATTATATAACACTAGCGTCTCTGTCCGCGGTATCAGCCCGAACACATGCGAACGAAGGATCGTCAAATATTAGGCAAGAGAGACAGGTAAAAAGGGGCGTAAGATAAAAAGTAATGATACTGCCGTATCGCACGACAGCCATAACTAGCAGCCTATGGACATATGCAAATCAGCATACCAATCCACTGAGAATGTGTCCTGGGTATCAGTTCTCGATGGCACGCGTCTCCAGCCTGCACCTGAAGCCACCGCGGCTCACCTGAGGTTGTGCTGGACGTGTTTGGGACTGCGCTGCATCCTGAGCGCATAGCTGGCCACCAGGCGTTCATTCTCCTTCCGAGCCAGGTCCAGCGGCGACAGCTCTTGGTACGGATCCAGGTCGTCTGAAACGGCGACAGAGCGGGTGACGGAGGCCCAGAATCCCCGGAACGGTGTGAAACCGCACAGGAGAGCCTTAGCTGCTCTAAAAGCAATGTAATTTTGAGGTGTTCGTTCAAAGTAACGATTAACTAGTTACATCCATCGTTATTATGTGAAGGGGTATTTGTAAAGGTAACGATAATGTGACAGCTGGACTGGTCCATGATTTGAAATCGCTTTCAACAATGCAACCGCTATACAGCCTGAGTTTTGATGAACGCAACTTTGACCTTTCCATTTCATTTACGTCTGATTCAAAATGCTAAAACCAAACCCGATACCGTCACTCACCGCTCGGTTTGGGGATCGGCACTCATCACTCGGTTTGGGGATCGGCACCCACCGGACGACACTCGGTACTCAGCGGTCCATATCGTCACTCACCGCTCGGTTTGGGGATCGGTACCCGACTGCGGTGGATCTCGGTACCGTACACGAATGGCTCTTCGTCGCTGCCCCTGCGCACTGCTGGCCTCCCGTTCTGTCGAGAGAGGAGAACGCGGCGGTTAGCGGTGGCAGAAAATAAGACGAGAATGTTCGTGTGAAGAGGGATACGGATGTGAAATGCATTAAACGTTTAGTATAAGGTTCGACAGGGCACCCGTAGGTAATATAGGAAATAAGGTAATGATCCGTTAAACGAAAACATCAGCGCACTTGAAGATACTTGATACTTGGCCCAGTTTCACCAAGTGCGGTAAACTCAATTTGGGGTAAAATACCAAACTACCCCACTCCGTAACTACAAATATACTACCCCAAAATTGAGTTAACCTAACTTGGTGACTGGTGAGGTTGGGCCCTGGTGTGAAAGCGATAAAAACAAGCTCCATATAATTACAACAGACTGAGCTGCTTTCACAACTACATAAAACATCGACAATCCACTCACCAAGCCTCTCTAACTTTAACTTATACGACAAGCCTTCCTTATCTATCGAATCACTCTCGAACCGACCACAGTCGCTCGCTCCTACTTTCTCACTCCGCAGCACCGCTCACAACTGCCGCACTTCTGACGGCCGCCCTCGCCGACCCCGGGGAGGGGAGCACACAGGTGGAGAGGTCAGCCGCCAGACGCACACCTGAGTGAACCGGCGGCAATCGATACCTAGCACCTGAACGCACCGCCACAGCCGACCACCGCGCCGCAGTTTAGAGAAACACGGAGAGTTTAGAAAAAACACGCCATACCGAGTCCAAGGTCATTGATCGTGATACGCGTCAATCGAAATTGGAAAGGCAATGTGTAAGCGAGCACCTGCAACGTTGCGTCACATATCTTTGGCTTCATGATTATGTATGAGACCTAAGGTGTACAGGGTGTCTCAAAAGTTCGTTGACAGGTACCAGCCATGCTTTTTTGACAATAATTCTGAATCAACAATAAATAAACAGTCGAAATTTTGCATGGGTATTGGTAACAACCTTCCTCAAGCAGTCTCATTGTTTTCAAACGCATTCGACCCTTCATAAGCCCACAAAAAGGGTTCATCTCTGACCATGGGTCAAGCATGAAAATGGAGGTCGCAAAATCGGGTCGGCTGAGAAACTCTCTGTTTCAGGAGTAATGGGAATGGTTAAGTCGGAAATGACACATGGCAAAGTGTCGGCGAGGATGAGTACAACATGATGATCATCTAATAAAAACGGTGGCTCAAATTTTTGAAGGACAAAACCATGCGAGACTAACAGCGTTTTGAACGACCCTCGTACGGCAGCAGACTCGTGCTCCGGAAAGCAGCTGAAAATGAAGCCATAACTATTGAAAACTGACAAGAAGCTCACAGACAGAGGTTACCCAGTTTCAAAAATTGCAGGTCATCGTAAAATAAAGACAAAGTATCATTTGAAATTGTTTATAATATCTAGAACGCTAAATTTTTGGGGAAAATAACACGAAAATCATCAATACCAAGGACAACTGACCCTCCAAAAGTGTCAATTAATGTAAAGTTTTATCTTACGAAGTTTCAAGAGGCAGATCTGGAGCGAATGGCTTTCTTTTAAACACAAAATCCCGACAAAACCACACGATGGACATGTTTTGGCCGTTTACAAAGCAGAACCTCTCCTGAGGAAAACACTCCGCAACCCAGCGAAGGTCTTGGCATGGGGAATGACGAGCGTTTGGGATTTGCAAAATTTGCACAATGTGTCTAAGAAACAGATGGCCGACACATTCTTCTACGATATGCTGCGAAAATTTTTCCCCTGGCACTTCCCATTTGTTCAGGAATGGGGTTGTCTTGAAAAGGAAAATGGTGCTTGAGAGGTCGGCGCCAGTCATTCATGAAGGAGTTAGCGCCAGAGAAGACCTACAAAATACTCACGGATGGTGTCGATGCACGCTGTCGGCTTTCAGGGAGAAGCGGATGTTGCCGGGGAGCTCGTCAAACCTAATTCCGACGCAGAAACTGCAGGGGATTCCCTCACAAGAGCTTGAAAGCTGGTAACCTTTTATCAGCCTCCGGCAGCTGACGGAGCGACGAAAATCGGTATGGGCAAATATTTTTGGAGCTACAGCAAAGGGTTTGATTTCCAACCTCCCGAATCAGTTGTCAAAGCATGCATATTTGTCTAGTGTGCACACAGACACAAAAACCTTAGATTTTTGGCCGGTTCTTATATGCTTTATGGGCATGGGAAATGTGTATACGAACTTTTGAGACACCCTGTAAAGCATAATATGATGGTCAAATTTAACTCACAGAAAAAACATCGTTGGAAAATTTAAGCATAAAAACGTAAAAAGTTTAAACCAGTCGAAACAGGATACCTATTACCTATACTAAGAAATATGTATAGCGGGCGCACATGCGGTCCATTTCCTTTCAGCACCAGCAAATCATAACAAGCAAACTGCAAAACCTATCAGAAAACCACCCCAAAGCCAGCTGGCAGCCTCCATTACTAAGATAGTTTTGCTGAACGGTATCTGCGCAATTGACCCTTGCCATGGGGACAGTCAACGCTGTTGCAACTCAAACTCTGGCGCCAGTCCGCCATGCCTTGCGCCAAACATCCCGACCGTCGAAACTGCGCACCACCGTCTGAATGCGCCACAATCGTCACGCTCGGTCGGCCAATGTAAGCAGCGCCAGCTGTGGCGGCGGCTACACCCCCGGTGCCCGTATTCGCCCGAGACCAGCCGAGTACTTAGATCTGAGGCGGATCAAAAGGCGAAGGGGATGGAGATAGAAAGCCCGGCAGCTAGAAGCGGGCCATTCCTGGTGTTGGAAACCGCATGTGCCGGCCGACACAGCAACAGCCAAAACAACCAATGTGAAACGGTTTCTGTCGAGGAATGATAGGGGAAATCAGATTAAAAATTAATCAAGTGGCAAAAAAGAGCAAATATTCCAAATGTCTTAGATTAGATTAGGGCACGAGTGCACACACATATCTTGTGCAAGCTCGTTACATCACACTTCGATCGTAGTGAATCACTCAGCTATTGTCGTAAGCTATATTATCGCAAGAATGGAATGACCAAGCGAGAGACAGCCGGCGCGGATAAGATTGAGTCGATCGCGTTATTCGAGTGCGTGACTCATCAGACAACCTGTACCAAGGCCTACTGGATTTAAAGAACCATCAATTAGATGAAAGGCACGACTAGACCGATCCTCATTCCCATTTCAGAACCTGGGCAACTTCTTATACCACCGGCTCCCCTAAACCACCGTCACACGCGAGCACGAACACAACCTCTGTCCGTGACACCTCACCTGATCGTTGGACGGTTTGGCCGCCGGCTGCGTCCCCCACTGTGTCTCTGAGCGCGGTGCCGGTATCGGGGTCTCATCCGCGGCGGCGTTGTCCTCGATCGAAGAGGGCTGCTCCGAGTCGCGTCTGCCGGAGGCGTTCTCAGAGTCCGACTCGAGCTCCACCAGCAGGTTGTCCTCGATCGAGTCGGACGGCGAGTCGGCCGGCGGCGCGCTCGGCTCGGAGACCTCACCGGGCTCGCAGATGGACGCGTTACGGTACGTGCTCCAGGCCGAGTCGGACGGGTCGAACGGACCGACGGCCGGTCCGCCCCGCAGCCGCCGCAGCCGCTCAGTCATCGCTGCCGCCGCGCCCGACACCGGAGAGTCTACAGACGACACGGACACGGCAGAGGTCAGGTCACGGGTGGGTCGGCTCACGGCACAGTCGGCTGACGCGGGGTGGGAAAGGGGACTGGGGCAGGGGTAGTCTCGGCCGTGGCAGGTGGCTTTGCAGCTGCAGGTTCAGACCAGTTCAAACTGGCTCGCATGAACCATAACTGGCGCCAATTTTGAGGAATGAGGCAGTGTGGTGATATGCGTCAACTTTGCTGACTGTCAAACAACAACGCTATTTACAAAGGTACGCCTTATTTTCAGTACCTACATTAAAAATTACGAGCTTCAAAGATGGTGAGATGAGGGACGAAATAATATTGCCCGGCCGAGTGCTCTTGACAAGTGCTCCGGCTGAGGTCCTATTTGATTGGATATTTACAAAAATGGAGTAACAAAAAGAAACTAATTTTGAAATAAAACTTTGCTCAATGGAGAGATGATATGTAAATAAGCAGGAGTACCTTTCCCTCTATTTTATGAACACAACAATGACGACGTTTGATCGGAAAATGAAGCTAAAACAAGTATGACATCGTAATAGCAGCCATTACCTCTGCTCAAATGCACCATTCGCAGCAGTTTGTGAGCCATGACGGAGAGGGCTACCGCCGGGACGGTACTAAAATCCTCCGACAGCGCTGTAGGCCCCGTCATTTGCCGCCAACTGACACACCGACACTTCAGCGACACGTCCACAGACACAAAACCGCGTCACTGTTAGTCCGACACCCGCTCGACACAGTCCGACCATACAACGTGTCTTATGACACCAAGAAAACTTCTCTTCGCGTGCCGAATCCAATTGTATCAAATGTAAATATGTATCAAATATTACTTTCCACCAGACATAGTACTGTTTTAGAGCCAAACCGCCAGTCCGTTCGGTCCGTTAGTGTCGCTTCTCTATACCACGTGCCGTGCTCACTCCGTACCGCCACACAGCGCTCGCTGTCGCCGACTAATCCCACTGAACCATCCAGTGGGCAGACGGCGGCGCCGGCGCGTGGCGCCGCACATGTATATAGTATACACACGGCTGGTCCCGGGCGGACGGTGCCGCGGGAGGGGGAGGGGGTGATGGATCGAACCCGCCCCCAGATGAAACCAGGTCGGGCGGCTCTCGGGGCAGAGAGGAGGACAAAGGTCGAGCTGAGCCGACACAACTCAGCTCCAGCTGATCCAAGGCAGTCCCGGGGAAAGGAGTCAGCTGAGTCAGCTCAATCATGCAAAATACATAAATGCATACCAATACAGAATATGTGCATACATTGCATTCATTTATTACTTAAGCATAGCCAGATGACTGATGTTTTAGGTGCAAAAGGAGTAGACGTCTCACTTAGTCCAGAAAGGTTCATGCAAAATTATGGTACTTAAAACACTGATAAATGTTACTTTGCCAAGCCAGCTAGCATCAAAATCATCACCACTCATGATGTATTTATGAATGCCCATTGTCCCCTGCTGACCCACAATATAAGTGCCACTATAACACACCATAGCTTTCACAAGGGTACTAACTAAATATGGTTGTGGGCTGACCCAAGGAGATGACTGCACCAGCCCACACTGCCTCTGGCAGAGTTTTAAATGAAACATTGCTGACACTGACAACTAGACAAACCCACCTGGATCAGGTGGCAGCTTCTTGCGACCAAAACGGTCAGAGATGTGCTGTATCCGCTCCAGGCATTGCTTGGCCAATGAGATCATCTGTGAGCGGTCTGTGTCCAGGGACAGACCGCTGGCCAGCAGTGAGCAGACAGCCTGCACACTGGCCAGGTAGGCCTGGTAGGCCTCCTGGAATAAATGGCCATAAGTCATTTCCGATAGAATCTTACATAAAACAGTAGGTAACAATAACTAAAAATAATAATTCATAAAGCACTTACTCCTAGTTAACATATATCCCTGGCCCTATTCAAGTGTCTGGATCCAAAGCGGCCCCCAAAGTAAAAAAGACAGGGCTTAGTTAGCAGCAAATCAGGATGGTTGGAACTGCTGTGTATGTGTTGCCTGATTGGCCGTTAGCCAAGCCCTGCCTTTTCCCATGAGAGCTGCAATGGCCACATACACTTGAACAAGATCCCTGTTGCTTGACGTTTCCTTTCTGCAATTTCATAAGAAGAAAGACAATTACCCCCTTGTAATTGTACAGGACACTTAAACCTCATTATACCTATAGGTAGACAAAGTACCAATAAATACATATGACTCCAGACTGAAGCAGTCAATAACTTCAGGAGCCTCAGACCACAAGAATAAGAAAAACTAAGCTATGAAGGAATTAAGAAAGACCAAAACACAAAAATAGGCACAAACTTAATTAAAAAATAATACAATAAATACAGATCATGGACAGAGAGCCAAAAACTTACCAATTCAAGGTTGTTCGCTTCCAAATCTGTTGCTGAGCCAATCATGCTCATAACGCTCTTTTTCCTATTGCTTTCGAAATCCATCCTGAACCAGCTTATTTGTGCAGATGGGCGATTTTCCCTATTATTTCCCTAAAATAAATCGGGAGACAGACCCTTCGTGCCTATGAAATTTGATAAACAAGAGCAAGGCCATCTATAGAACAAGAGAGTCTGCAAGTGTTTGTAACGCTTGCGCCAAAACTGTAACCATAAAATGCTTCCATATAGAGCGAAACAGCTTCTTGGACGCGTATTTGGAATTTCCGACCTTGACGAGCGTCTGTGGTAGAAAACCACCACTTTGGTAGGGGAAACTACTGCTGTCTGCTACCATTTGCACTGCATGTGTCGCTATCGCTGCGACATCTATGCATATAGATGTAAATCACGACATCTGTGTGCGCTGATTCTAGTAAGCGATTAGCTAGGGCACCAGGGTGGATCCAGACTTTCGGTTTGAGGCAGGGCCGGGGTGCGGAGCCGGAGCCGGAGCCGCCGGAGCCGGCATATTTTGCCCGGAGCCGGAGCCCAAGCCGTGAAACAATATAGTTAGTTCGGAGCCGGAGCCAGAGCCGGAGCTGTCAAAAAAGGGGGCGACTCCGGCTCCTTTTTTGAAGAGGAAACAAATATTGACCTAGTTCGGTTTGTCAAACCGAACTGTCTTGAACTTACAATTCCAGGCAGTAAGAAATACGGTATTCAAAATATGAAAATAGCCTTAACTTATGCAAATGCAGAAGCAACGTGCACCAATCCCATCTTCTTTTTTCTGCCACCCGTAGGTATTTAAAATGTACTGAGTATTGGAGCCGGAGCTGCCGGACCATTTTACTCGGAGCCGGAGCCGGAGCCGGAGCCGCCATGGCATTTCACCCGTAGCCGGAGCCGGAGTCGGAACCGTCTGAAATGTCCACGACTCCGCATCCCTGGTTAAGGGTGGGCGTGGGGTAACTCATGGCCGGCCCGATCCCTGGCAGTCCGGTTGCTGAGCGGGGGGGGGGGGGAAGGTCCAATATGATGCCACACCTATTGTCTATAGGCATATATAGTATGTATTGGTTTGTATTGGTATTGGTAAAGTTAAAGCTAAAGGTTATTAAATAAGTTAAAAAACACCGACGCGGAGCGCTGCCGTTTTTAAGATATCCGCAAAAAACAAATCGTCAACTTGATGAATCGATAAAAATCACTAACATCCCAGGAGGCACACTGCTGAGTGCTGATACCATTCAATACATACGTATATACCTATGGGCAATAGGCATGTCTTTTGGGTCATTATATTGGACCTTCCTTCCCTCCCCCCCCCCCCCGGGCCCCCGCTCAGCAACTTTGACTGCCGGGGATCGGGCCGGCCAAGAGTCCGCCCACCCTCAAACTGAAAGTCTGGATCCATCCTGCTGCCCTAGCTAATCGCTAACTAGAATCACCCAAGAATCACCGGCCACCGCACACACACGTCGCGATTTAATATGCATAGATGTCGCACCTATAGCGACACATGTAGTGCAAATGGTAGCAGACAGCAGTAGTTTCCCCTACCAAAGGGGTGGTTTTCTACCACAGATGCTCGTCGAGGTCGGAATTTCCAAATAGGCTTCTTGGACAATCCCAAGGCTATATAAACCGACAATCCTTCCCCTACTCCCCGATTAGTTCTAGTTTGCGATTAGTAAAGCAATCGCCAATCTTGCCCTACTCTATTTACCAGCAATGCTAGCGAAAAAAGTTACCTGCATTCAACACATTTGATTTTGATCTGTTATTTCCATTAATCCTTACCTCATATTACAAGAGTACTTGTAGACCTTGTCAGTCTGCTCGGCGCCTATGAATCTGTACATAATTTCTCAACCACTGTCCGTTCGCCAAAACTACCGTTCAAATGCTTTCTTTCAGCAAATCCACTTATCCTGGTAACCTATTTATTCCAAAGTGAATCAGAGGTTACATTTTCGCAACAAATGGCAGCTTCTTTTTTTTGACCCGATGCTTTTTTTACAAAAGGTCGCTGAATCAAAACATGTAAAAAAACATACAGGTTCAGAATCGTCCAGAGACGGCTAATCTTCAGTCACCGTCGCTGCAACGTATCAGTTACTTCGCCTCCGAATTCCAACCACTCTCGTCTGGCACGAAATAGCCCGCCCCACTCCCCTCTCACTTCTCAGAGACTCAGCCGGAGCTTTGACATGTAAACAACACCTTCACCACACGGCTTCATGACGTCACACACCCCGCATTTCACAACCGCGCCGGCACGTGAGCAGTTCCGACACGGTCCCGCGGAAACCTGATTGGTCCAGTTTTCAGTCACCACGTCCTCCTCATCAGTCATCGTCACTCATCTCACCTCTTGGTAAACCACACATGCACACTCCCTTCAGAGAACTGAGACATCGGCTTGCCATTCTCGTCCCGACCACTCGGCTGTCAACTCCCGACACACCATACACACACGCGGGTCAACCCATCACTACACGGGCAGCGGCAGCCGGCGAATTTCCTCAGAGCACTCCTGGAACGCGTCCGAGTAGTCGTCGTGCGGCTGGATCAGCGCCATGATGCAGCCCTTCTTCCTGCCCAGCGCGCCGCCGATGTCGTCCTTGCTGGCCACGTAGACGTACGGGATCGACTTGTCCTCGCAGACGGCCGGCAGGTGGCACATGATGTCCTCCGGAGTCACGTCGCCGGCGAACACCACGATACTGCGGAGGGAGGGGCGAGGCGGTCAGCGGACAGACGGACGCGGCGGTCAGCGGAGGGGAAGGCGGTCTTTGGGGAAAAAACCACAAAACACCAGGTGACCCTGTGTGGGAACGAGAAAACCTAGACTGAGTGTAGAAGGGGAGGTAGCCAGTGCCCATCCTTACCCTGTGTCACCCTTCCTCAACCTTGTCTGGACATCCTTCAGTCCATTTCTGATCTGGCCCTTGTGCTTGCTTCCTGCAAAAAAGGCAGTCAAAGATGTGATTTCATTACAAATGAGGCAACACATGAAGCTAAAAAACTGCCTATGACATGAGAAATAAAAGTGGTTTGTCAATAACCACTTCCCAAAAATAAGAATTGAGGAAAAAAGTTGAAGAATGTTCCACATAGACATAAGCCTTCAACACATGATCAGATCTGATCTAACTAAATGATATTTTTTTTTTAAATGATATTTTTATCCATTTGTAACTTTATTGCATTATATCAACCCTCGCCGGACCTATTGGTTTTCTACATACGCCGGCCGAGGGAGGGGGGGGGGGAGGGGGTACGACCTCCTCGCCGTTTCGCCCCTGGTGGAGCTAGTGCGTCGCGGAAAAAACGAGCGTGTGTGCCGTTACGAGACGCAGAGATTGATACCCGATTTTAATGTCCTAGGTCAACCGGTGACCTCTGAGGTCAGGTCAAGTGCCCCAAGGTACGGTTCCGTTTTTGAATAACTTCGCAAAAAACGGCCCCAGAGCCGCGATTTTGGCAGCATCGTGTTCGCCTCGCTCAGACGCGTCGAATGATATACCTACTTTTTGTTTGGGTGAGGTCAACCTAGGGTGTTGACCTCAGGTCACGGTCAGGTGTGTTGCACTGTCAATGACCCCCTGGTCACGAAATTGGTCGAAGTAGGTCATGTAGCATATCATTCGATTCGGCAGGTCTTACTGAGTCCATTCCATTGGTGGAATGGAAATTGGTGGAATGGACTGGTGGTGGCTTTCCCGACTCGCTAGCTCAATTTGATCGGAAGTTATTGACGAAAAACTATTATGACCCTAATGAAGTCCTAAATGACGTCATGCAAGGTCAACATTGCAAAAGTGACGCATGTAACCTTGCAAGGAGTGCCTCAAATCACGATTCTGTGTGCTTGAGATAGTTGGAGATCGTTCCCGGCGCCAGAATAGCAGTTTTCATTTTTCCCCATTGACTTATAATGGTGAGGTTACGAAAATGACCTGACCTCATATAACCTTTACGAAAAATCCGAGATATACAAGTTGTGAGACTCATAATGGATATTAGATCCTGCAAGTTTTATTTCCCTGTGGAAGCTCCTCTGGCAGTGAGGGCGTTGCGAAGATGCGATATCTGAAGACCGTGCAGAGGTTCACTTATGACGTCATAGGTCAGTGACCTGACCTGACCCGAAAACGTGGTTGTGTCAAAAGATCCAGCTTGAATCAAGGGTCAGATATACCAAGTTTCAGTTCTCTATTCCCAGCGTGTTCAGAGCTATCGCGAAAAAAAAAACCCTATGGGGGGCGCCCTCTCAGCCGGCGAGGGTTAACCCTCGCCGGACCTATTGGTTTTCTACATACGCGCCGGCCGAGGGGGGGGGGGGGCGGGTACGAGCCCCCCTGCCCCCTCGCCGTTTCGCCCCTGGTGGAGTTACCGCGTCGCGGAAAAAAACGAGCGTGTGCGCCGTTACGAGCCGCAGAGATTTGTACCAGATTTTAAGGTCCTAGGTCAACCGGTGACCTCTGAGGTCAGGTCGAGTGCCCCAAGGTACGGTTCAGTTTTTGGTGAATAACTTCGCAAAAAAACCGCCGCAGAGCGCTGATTTTGGCAGCATCGTGTTCGCCTCTCTCAGGCGCGTCGAATGATATACTTTTTGTTTGGGTCAGGTCAACTTAGGGTGTTGACCTCAGGTCAAGGTCAGGTCAGCGCCCCCAAGTCACGTAGTTGGTCGAAAGAGGTCATGTCGCATATCATTCGATTAGGCAGGTCTTCCTGAGTCCATTGGTGGCTTTCCCGACTCGCTAGCTCAATTTGATCGGGAGTTGACGAAAAACTAATATGACCTTGATGACGTCATAAATGACGTCACGCAAGGTCAACATTGCAAAAGTGACGCATCTAACCATCCAAGGAGTGCATATCAAATCACGATTCTGTGTGCTTGAGATGATTGGAGATTGTTCCCAGCGCCAGAATAGTAGTTTTCATTTTTCCCCATTGACTTATAATGGTGAGGTCACGAAAATGAGCTGACCTCATATGACCTTTAGGAAAAACCCGAGATATACAAGTTGTGAGACTCGTAATGGAAACTAGATCCTGCAAGTTTCATTTCCCTGTGAAAGTTCCTCTGGCAGTGAGGGCGTTGCAAAGTTGCGACATCTGAAGACCGTGCAGAGATTCACGTATGACGTCATAGGTCAGTGACCTGACCTGACCCGAAAATGCGGTTGGTGTCAAAAGATCCGGCCTGAATCAAAGGTCAGATATGCCAAGTTTCAGCTCTCTATCCCCAGTGTGTTCGGAGCTATCACGGAAAACCCTATGGGGGGGGGGGCGGTACCCGCCCACCCTCGGCCGGCGAGGGTTAATAAAGCAGCTTCTTGCACCATACCTTTCCGTACCAGTGGTCAATCGAAATTTCAGGGGCTGAATTGATTTTTCTTGGAACAATAGAGTCTGCATGTGAAGCAGTCGGAAGTATGAACCCTACCTTTCTTGATCATTTTCATCAACTTCTTTGCAAGCTTCTTTGATGCCATTGGTTTTGCAATTCTGTTGACAAACTTCAACTTCTCTTCATAGCTTAGACCAGATTCAACTTGTGAGCAGGGATGCGGAGCCGGAGCCGGAGCCGGAGCCGGAGCCGCCGGAGCCGGCATATTTTGCCCGGAGCCGGAGCCGGAGCCGGAGCCGTGAAACAATATAGCCCGGAGCCGGAGCCGGAGCCGGAGCCGTCAAAAAAGGGGGCGACTCCGGCTCCTTTTCTTAAGAGGAAACAATTATTTACCTAGTTCGGTTTGACAGTACAAGGGGTAGGTAAAACAACCTGGTATTCAAAATAGCCGTGTTATACAAATACAGAAGCAACGTGTACCAATCCCATCGCCTTTTTTCTTCCACCCGTATTTAATTGATCGCATAGGGGATGTACTGAGTAGAAGCCGGAGCCGGAGCCGCCGGAGCCGGAGCCGTCGGAGCCGGATCATTTTACTCGGAGCCGGAGCCGGAGCCGGAGCCGCCATGACATTTCACCCGGAGCCGGAGCCGGAGCCGGAGCCGATTTTTTTCTCCGGAGCCGGAGCCGGAGCCGGAGCCGTCTGAAATTTCCACGGCTCCGCATCCCTGCTTGTGAGGCATCCAGAGCCTCCCCAGCTTCAGAGGTGTTCAGGCTTTTCTTTCCCATCTTATGCTGGAAATAACAATGAAAGTTACAATTGTTTTTAACTCAAGTATACATAGGCATCATAAAGAAAAGGTGAACAGTGTCATAAAGTACTTAGATGGAAATGTATAGCAAAAAAGTGGCACATGCAGAATTTCAGACTAACTTTAGCAATTATTATCTAGGCATGTGTAGACATTGAGCAAAGTCTTAACTCTTAACAACATTAGTCAAATGTCATTAGCATTGCATCAACAACATCAAGCCAAATAAAAACATGACAGACACAACTAACCAAGCAATAGATCCAGGGGTGGAGAAATATGCCGAGTTGGGGTTGCACGGGCGCAGCAAATACACTGCCGCCCTAGGGGTGACCTTGACCACCGCCGCCTGGTGTAGCTCCAAAGCCAAGCGGGCGCGGAATTGGGAAGACTCGTGCTACCCCAACTCGGCACTATTATCCACCCCTGAATAGATCAATGTAAGGCTATCTAAACCATCAATGCCACTTCATTCAAACTTCTGAAAACCAAACCCAAGTAACTTATATCACCAAATTTTGCAGTTTGTTGTTTTGAATTTGGAAGAAATAGGGGAAGTAGTAAAGCAGGCATCACACTTGTTTTTCCAACCATGACTGTGGAGAGGCACTGTAGGTCAAGGTTGGGTTGTACATAGATTGTAGGTTTTAGGTGTTAAGTTAGGCTGTAGGCAAGGTTGGGTCAGGTTTGGTTAGGTTTGGTTTGCTTTGATAAGAAAGCATATTTGGGTATAACACCTCTCCTTGGTTGGAAAAAAACGCCTGCTAACTTGAAAAAGTGTGATGCCTGAGCTCTGTTCGCACCCCGTTTATTTATCAGCAGGCTGCGACCATGCTGCTACTTCTTGGCTCCTCATTGGTCGAATTCACGTGGTCTATTCGTTAGACCAATGAGAGGCCAAGCCGCGCCAGCAATAACTTCCTTATATGGGGAAAACTGACAGCACGCTGATATAAAAACAGCGACCGAACAGGGCCCTGCTTTAAAACTACCGAAACAGGTATGGGTGATTTCCTCCTTTTAGGCACACTTTAAAAGTCTGTGCCACTCCATCATAGAGCAAACATCTAATTTCACACTGCATATTGAACATCCAAAATCCACCTTTTCCATTGTTTCAGTTTGTTTTCTTTAAAAATTGATTGAAAAAACATGAAAAATAGCCTGAGCCAAACTGAAACTGCCGTTATTTGACGCTGTTATCAAGGCCCTACTGTTATCATTATGCAAGATAATAATCAGGTAATGCTATCAAATTTGCTGTAAAGAAAATAATCCCAAGCTCACCGTGTGGTTGAAATTACCAATGCGGAAATTAACGAAATTAGCAGCCACAACCCACAACCCCCAGCAACAAGGCCGTATCCAACACCAACCGTATCCCCAGCGCCCCCAGCAACGCGCCGCCACCGCCGCCACCACACCACGTGCGTGTCGACTCAAGGTTGTGAAAATTTAGGTACAAGTATGGAACCGGCTGTTGTTAACCTGCTCATCAGTAAATTACGTCATTAGAACAAAATGCTTGTACGGGGACCCGCAGTTGCTACTGTACACGAACCCCAAGTCTAACCGTCTGTCCTGTCCAGTAACAACCGATAACATTGATATCGACTGCTAGTCCCTGTACAAGAGCAGCTGAGGTTTCCTGTGAGTACCCTCTGACAGCTTGTCGTTGTTCCCTGTGAGGGTGCTGGGACAATTTACTCAGGGTCAGTGTACAGTAGCAACTGCGGGTCCCTGTACCTGCTTGTACCCATCTGTTTACTGTCGGTTATATCCAACATTCTTACAGATAGTTATATCAAGGCAAATTGATATATCTATTTATGTACGCTGTGGATATATCAAATCATATTCGGGAGATCGTACATGGGAAAGGATTCGGGCTTGCTATGTGAAGCTCGGAAATGCTTTTGCCTTTTGCCTTTTTCCGTTTTCAGTAGCTCGGGACGGGAGACGGGAACTCGAGCAGTGGCGGCGGAACACCTTCAATTAGGGGGGGGGGGGGGGGGCACTGCCGAGTTTTGGTCCCATTCTTTTCCATGCAACGCCCATAGGGCTAATGTTAAAATGGCAAAACCAAATGGGGGGGGGGGGGGGTACGGTGAACGCGGTAAATGGAGACATAGGTAACATTTGTTTTGTGGGTGTCGCATTTTATTGACAACAATGCAACATCTGTCGCAACATTTCATAATAGCGCGTGGCCAAATAAACATACGGTTTTTGTTTCCATCAGATCTTTCGCATTTCACGCGGCAGAATGAGGAAGTCACTTCACTACGCATCCCGTGTCACTCAATAGTCAATAGTTACATTTGAAATTCATGCATCCAATTCCATACACACTGTGATTTGGAATAAATGATATCAAGTGAAACTGTCGCGAAAAAGTACTTACAGATGAACGTCATACATACATGTACATAACATATCGCAGGAACCACAAAAGGTTCCGATTCATAAAAAAATAAATACAAAAATAAATAAAAATGAAAGGTCTGCCTAGGCTGTTGCGGACAGCCGACAGCAAATGTGATCGGCGATGCAAATCGAAATGTTTGTGAATATATAAAATACCTTGAAATAACTAGTTGCAATACGAAGCACAAATAAATACCATATACTCGCTCAACGTTAGGCATAACTTAGCCTTATACTTGCACGCTTAAAACAGAGTGCAATTTTGAACGATTCACATCTCCTCTCCAGTCTTACATCGTAATTCATCAGTCATGGCGGAACAGTCGGGGCCTCCGTCATACTCTCACTCCTTGCTTCTAACTAGCGGTTCAAAATATCACCGCTATACATTCAACACATCGTCAAAAATAAGAGGTGCCAGATAATAAGCCAGCCATAGAAAATCAGCATAGACGGGCACAGCTACTGCCCTTCCTTCTTCTACACTCAACACAGAGTCTTGGACAGTTCCTGAATGTCTCAGCCACTGGCCCACTGTTCCATCACTGATCGGTCACTGCACCAATGACGTCACTGAACGGTCTCTCTCGGGTTTATGACGTCACACCATCGCCAGCAGCGGCAGCACCAGGAGCAGAAGGACCGGCCGGCTGACTCGGCTGGCGGCTCCATCAGACGCCACGCCGATCGGAAATCCTTTGACCTCGGCGGCCTGCGGCTGGCCTGGTGCCGCGTCTCCCTTCTCCAGAGGTTGGACGCGACTGAAAACGAGGGGCAGAACGCGTTGATTGAAGGACCCGTCAGTCACACTACAGAAAATAAGAGCATTGAACGCGACTATTTTGAAATGTTACATAAGCGACTTCATACGCATAATCCAAGCGTAAATCGTAACAGCAAAGCCGTACCAAAATCCTCTTACGAACAAGTCACAAGGCCGAATGTCAAAACGATTCAGGTGAACATAAAACAACCGTTTCACCGTTAGTTACGTTACATAATAAACGGTATAAAGCGGTATAGCATAACGTTTTTGCGCAGCAGTAGCATTAGCTCATTACTAAAAAAAAAATCCTGGATAGCTTATAAACACATACAACACCGTATCGCTCGACAAACAAACTGATTTACGACATCATTGACATGCCGTTGGCCGCCACTCACCCGATCATATAGTGGTCGTACATGCCGTAGAAGCCGCGCTTGACGCCGGCCCTCCAGGGCGCCTGGCCGCGCTTGTCCGTCCCGTGCATCTGCATGGCACCGTGGTCCCGTCGGCCGTACATGTACTGACGGCTGTAGGCGTAGTCGTCTGTCGGAAAATGAAACCACAATTAATGCACAGTTATACGGATCGGGAGCATGCTATGGTAAATTTCAGAGCAAACGATCGGGATTAGGAACGTGTGGGTATGTAATTCAAAAGTCGCTTACATCACAATGTCGTAGCATTTTAATATCAGTTCGCCGTTTCCGTCTCTGCCGTCTACATTTCCGCTCCCGTCGACCTCCTCCTCCCCTCCCCCCCCCCCCCCCCCCCCCCCCCCCTCCCATCTGCCCGCATCCTCCGTCACGTTTCCGACTTATGTATATCCTCCCGTCTTATATCCTCTCGCGACTCGCACTTGATTTTTTCTCTCTCCCTCACTCTCTCTCTCTCTCTCTCTCTCTCTCTCTCTCTCTCTCTCTCTCTCTCTCTCTCTCTCTCTCTCTCTCTCCCTTCCCCCTCTCTCCTCCCCACCTGCCAGCCACTGCCCGGCAGACCGTCACAGGTCGGTGACCACAGCGACGTCGCAGATGTTTGAGTAGAAACTGCACCTCTCTCCTACGTGCGCGTGCATGCGCCGGTGTCACTAGCCACCCCAACTGAGTTGTCACGGAAAAACGCCGTTACAGGCAGAAGAGGTCACAGGCATGGAATACGACACGAGATTATTTTATCTTTCATGAAAACAATGCGGATGATATGTAAATAATAGGTGTGCAAAATAGGCCTTTGGAGCCTTTTAAAATGAATTCACAGAGACGGACTTTAGTCATAACATAGCCTTGGTTATAACTTTATCTATTGAATGTAACGATAGGACAATCTTTCACACGTGACACGGTCAACATCAATTCGCTCTTCCTGTAGCAGCATATCTCTTTGAATAAGCATCGATAACTGACAAAAACAGCGCTTGATTTAAATGGATAATGAAGATTGATTTGCAATAGACAATGCGTCTTTTGCAAAAAAAAGATCGCTGGTGACAAATCTCGACCTAGCTAGGATGGCACACGGAGAACTTCAGCTCAGAGCTTCAGTTTAGTTCAGCTAGTATCTGAAACGCGACTCAGCGGCCGCAGGGTCTGTGCTCCGGCGCTCCGCGCTGCGCATTGCACCGCTGGCGTGGGAGCGAATATTTCGCCACCGTCGCATTGAGGGTCAAACCGATCGCAGAAACCTCGGGAGTGTTCTGCTCGAGCACATTCGGCCTCCGCCTCGGGGAAAGCCTGGGACAGGCCGCGACCCGACTGCAGGCGGCAATAGCCCGGCCTTCTGAGCGGATGCTAGCGCCCCCGTCCCTTCAAAGGAACCGTCCGCTCATTCTTGACACAGGTCTCGCCTTCCGGGTTATGTAAAGTGTTCGCGACGACCTTTCACACATTGTGACGCATGATGCAACTAAAGTGAACTATGTGCGGGGCTGATCCACATTGCATGAATGCAGACTGCGCTGGAGATGCCGAGCCGAGCTCCACAAACGGTCCCGCAGGCAGTAATTCAACACAGCCTCGGGCTACAGATTACTCTGCTCTCGCCTCTCAGAGCTCTATCCGGGCTATCAGGCTCTCCGCCCGGAGCCGCAGACTCGGCCGTGACTGTCTTCCCGGAGTGCCATGATTGTCGCTACACACCATAACTCGGAGCCGCCGGCCGGGCTGCCCCATAACTCGGCGCCGCTCCACCGAGCCCGGAGAGCTGCAGCCGTGAGCTAATTCTCGGGCCGTGTGCCGACGTGGGCAATAAAGCAGCACCACTGCCGGCACGGGCACGTCCTCTGCGAGGGTCGCCGAGAGGGCCTTGGATGAGCCGGCCGTTCCCCCTCCCCACCAGTCGGGAAGCGTTCTCCGCTCCCACTCATGAGCAGTTCGGTGTATGTTCCGCGCAGAGCTGGTATGACCTCTGGTGGCCCCGGTGACCCCGTTGACCTCAGATGACCTCGTTACTCACCTCTGACGATTTTGTGGCCCTGAGGCAGCGCAGCCAGACGGCAGGTCAGGCAGGCGACAAGAGTTAGCAGCACCGCCGCTTGCGACGCGACCTGAAAAAAACGAGCCAGGAACCGTTAGATAATGTATCGATTTTCTGGAGAGCCGTGGTATTGGGGTTCGGCAGAAGGAAGTTAGCATCAGAGTCCAGTAGAGGTGTCAATTTCAGAAATTTCTTGTCCGATGTCCGTCCAATGTCCAAAATCCTAGCTCAGTTTTGTCCGAAAAATGTCCAAGGCATGGATTTTTCCGAAAACTGTCCGAAAGCTGGATATGGAAAGAGAGGATGGGGGAACTGATCTATATTAGGTATATATTATTATGTACCACATGATAACTAGATAACAGATATCCGCCATCGGGTTTTGGGGCAAAATATTGCCAACTAAAAATGTTGAAGCAATATCATATGCGAGTAGGGAATGGGCATTTGGGCAAAAGGCCTAATCTGACATACAACACAAACACAGCATATTGAGACAAGCCTATTCTGCTTCAAAATGTGCTACAGCCTACAACTGAAGCTGAGTAAGCAGGAATAATGCAAAACATTGCCTTATCCCTCAAACTTGCATTCTCAAATATTGACTTTTTGCCGCATCCCTTTGACACTAAGCCACTTGATGATGAATTAATGCAGCAATAATGCAAGAAGCTAGTCACTTACAACAATGCATTCTTCATCTTATATCAATATCACACTGGCTGACATGTAAAGTAGAACACTTCTTGCAAAAGCAAAGTAGTTCAAGTTCATTTAAGAAGAAACTGCTCTTCACTGAGCCACATATCTCTGAATATCGAAACAAAATAAGCGATCACAAAAATAAAAATACTTGCTATGATTTAACTCAAATTCACTGAAATTCACAAGCAAAAGAAGTTGTAATCCTTGGTAGCACGGTATATAGAGAACTCTTGGTAGAATGAAAACACCTTTCATGCTACCATTCTCGGTAGAATGGAACATGGTATCCGGCTTTGAGTCGATGATGTAAAAGTAAATCAATAATATGACGTCATTATCAGATACTTTGTCCTATTGAAGTGCATTAACCATAAGTTGTTTAATTCTAGTTCAATATGCATTGCAAAATATTATAGTTTTTGAAAATTATTTAATTGTTAAGCAGACTGGCTGTATTTATTATCTTAAACGTCATTTCTTGTCTCCTCTGATTGTCATGCGGGGGCCAGGTGGGGGGCCATCTTTCCTTGGGTGACATTTATGACGCTCTCGCCGCATTTCATCATCTTTTGGTAACAGTTTATTTGGATAGGCTATCGGCATACTTTGTAGCATTGTATTCGATATTTCGGCACGGATATTTTTTGGGGGAAGGGGTGGAAGGGGATGATTTATGATAGGAAGTTCTAGGTAAGCCTCTTGTGCTTCTTGGCACACCTTGATATTTGCAATTTTTTCAGCCTCTTTTCTGTTAACTTTAAAGTAAGGCAAATCTATTTTTGGGTTTCCTCCTTTACTGCTTTGGTGTCTAGTGCTTCCCACAGGTCAATGATTGTGCATCATATTCATACCTATTACCTGTGTTATCTAATGATGGACTTGCTGACAACAATGTCACCTGTTGGCTATTGCCATTCATAAACACATTTTCAAATTTAGAGTTAAAAGTTGGCACGGTATAGGTAGGTATATATTTGACTCAGAGCTACCTGCTACATGCAATTATGTTTATGTTCAACCTGCACTATAATTATGAATGATGTGTGAAGTGTGAACTGTGAACCACCTATCCCCTGCCAATTTTGATGACATGTTTTGCAATTTGCTTGATAATGGAAATAAGTTTGAACTTAAAGTTATTTAAGAAATTTGTAATTTTCAACTAGTTTTCCGAATATGTCCGATGTGTTTGTCACTTGTCCGTCCGATTTCCGAATCGGAATTCGGAAATTTTCGGAATTCCAAAATTTTCGGTTCCGATTGACACCTCTAGAGTCCAGGTGCGACTGAACCAGCATTATGCTACATGCACGTCAAGGTCTAACACAAGGCCGAGCGGCTATAATTTACTTGAGAATTAAATCCAGCAGTTCTCGTAAAATCACACGCTCACGTCATTCACGTAGCCAGCGCCGCGGCCACACCACTCAGAGTCAGGCTAACGCATGTTTCAGGTCACGGTCGTGCAATCTCGGCGTAAAAAAGCATAATAATACGACGCGCCAGCACTCGGGGCATTGTGGAGTGAAACCGCATCCCACCGGGGCCTTACGCGCGACCTGTGACATGGCAGTACAGCGGAAACCAGGCCGTGCGAAAATCCCCCTAATGTGAGAGACAGCTCCGGAAGCTCTTAATCCACGCCCAAGCCTATTAACCTCGGCATCGCTCACGACCTGAAATGTGGGCCGACAGTGCGCCGCTACGATGCTCTCTGACGATGGATGCCGCCGGCCTGACTGCTCATTCAGCGGGGCTTCTGGTTCCTCGGCCTCCTGCCCGGTTACGACCCGGCAGTAGGCTCCCGATGCGCGATTGAAGCGCTATTAGAGAGCGATTCCCATGGCCGGTGCCACGATTGATTCGTGGGTTCTCACGACAGAAGGTCAGGGACTGGGGGATGGTCTGCTATTGCAACAGGAAGTGTTCTACGTCCGCGCAACAGGGAAAGACAACACTTAGCTGATTCTTAGCATGCCATAAACGAATTGATGAAGCATTCGATATGCGTCAACTGAATGTTTGGTGGTGGTATGCGAGATATGAACGGGACGCACAAGAAACTTCGAAGGTTGCATGTATTCTGCGCGTTCGGAGCCTGTCGAATTGCCCAAACTACCCGTCTGACAGCCCGCCAATCACACGGAAAAGCTGGACTCAATCAGGAATGCCAGACATGCAGATCTAATCGTGATACATGAGCAGGCAGTTTATCGGAAAGGTAATCTGATCGGACTGTCGATGCGTAATGCAGCTCCTCAGCACATTCCCCTGTTGTGACGTTGCACGTCATTAACGGACGTTTTTCCGCCTCCGCTGATCACGGGTGAGCGGTCACGGTAAGTGCTCGGTCGTGGCGCAGTCGGCGGGTGTGCCGGACATTAGCATTCGCCGCGCACCGGCGCGCCACTGACCTTCCCGCTGAGCCTGCAAGGGAAGTGACGACGTGTGTCTGTGCCTGTATTGGGGCCCGGCTCGGACCAACAGGTTCCCATAATACCTCAGAGACAGCACGGCTGCGGTTGTAATCCGGCCCGAGCCAAACACGAGAAACAAGCTGGACGTAGTGGCGACTGCCGAGAGTATTTTACGCTTCTAATCCGACCGAAAAGCTACCCGGCACAGCGTAGTGAGCAATTAATAAAAGTTCATGACTCTTTCCACATTCCGATTTTCGTTGCAAAGTTGTATGTAAAGGAACTTGTGCAGATAGAGACTAGCAGTGGATGACATGCTGCACAGCTGCAGTTGTTGGGAATAATCGTTTATACCGACAGCCTTCAGTTATCGAGCACAATGTCCGTAAAACTTCACCTTCACCATGTTCGCACTGTTGCACACACAGCAGGGTAAACTGTTTAACAATGCACAGTTAACTGTATCCAAACTGAAAAAAATGAATGACCTGAAGGGGACACAAAACCTGCAATCGGACAAGTGGAGCACTGCATGAACGTCAACTCGAATATTATTGTTCAGCACCTTCAAAATTTTGCCACAAACCACACATTCCACTCGATCTAGAAAACGAAAAGTCTTCGAGAAAGGACGGGATTAGGGTGCCCGCTTATGCCAATTAACGTCTCAGCTCTCTGGCTTACGATTATCACGCATCAAGTTTGCATTAAAGCAACACAATTTCAGCGTCATCGTTCTCATCATCCTTAGCAGATCTTCAGCTTAGAAACGGGGTGCGCACACCGATGCAAACTGTGCACGTAGGCAGATGGTATCATACTCCAACTGACCAAGTGAATCAGCTATACATCGAACCAGTTGCAGCGGAACTGCAACCGGTGAAGTCGTCATTAGGATATCGACATTCGCACACGCGCGTGAAATTGTGAATGGGAAAATCATTTCGATAATTGGGAACGTATCATCTGAATTGTGGATCGTCAAGATTCATATCCAGAAACTTGAGTAGAACGGTCTAATCCCAAGTCATTGCAAAATCACTGCAAATGATATTATTGCAACACTTGTGATCAGGCACGTATCACGTGCCTTGATTCGTTCTCGCGAATCGTGAGTGTACAAATCAACACCAATATTAAGTACTGGACACTGGTTGAACTTCAAGTGTGGTACGTAAGCCATTGGAGCTGAAACTTTATGAAACTGGTACACATGTACCGAAATGAACGCTCCATCAACAACCCGGTACCGATGGAGGGGCTGTTCAGAAAAAGACTGGTCTGGTGTTCTGGCGTTCACACCAGTAGCTCGCTATCAACTAGGTCGCAGAGATGTAAACACGCGGCGTGCCACCGTCACGGCCCAGTAAACACACCAAAGCACACCCAACCCCAAACGACAACGAACACAGCACGAGTTCACGCATTAATCACATTCCTAGCACGTTACCACAAATACACACATCCCCTAGTCCATCCTCCCACCCTGACCCAGGCCCGACCCTGGCTCGGCGAACGGTGACAGGTCACACACAGAAGCATGGTGAAAACGGCCGACAGCAGCGGCGAACCACGACTAACGCGTGTCGCGAGCTCTCGCCCGCCACTCACCATTGTCGAGCAGTGACCCGTCGCGCGCCGGCGCGTTCCCTTTCGTTCCGTGTCGATGTGTGTCGCGGTGCCTCAGCCACGAGCGAGGAGCACTGTATGTCCGACGTCCGGGCCGCCGTCGCCGCCACTGTCTGCAGTCCGGCGGCCGGCGGGTGGCGGGTGGCGGCGCCGAGACTCCGCCCCCGGGCCGACCGGCACGGGCGGCGGCGCGTGCCGGGCCCGGCGCTGCAGCCTCCGGAGACAGCGCCCATGGACGGGGTGTTACCTCGCGGCGGAGCAGGCCAGCCAGGGGATGCAGGACCGAGACCGTCACCTGGGATTCACAGGAAGTCATTAGGACATTGCATACCGACCAAACGTGTGATATCCAGAGAGACGAAAGAGGATGCAGCAGATACTCCGAACCGGGGTGCCACCGAGTTAATGGTGACGATTGCAAGACATCATTTAACCAGAAGGGCGAACTCAGCTACGATGGTAAGCAGCGACTGTAAACAGTAGGCTGCAAAATTATTCACCGATGACTCGCAGTTTAGGGGCCCGCTGTCTGCAACCGACTAGCAGTGCTCATTATAAACAAACAGAGACGGGACGTTCCAGGAATCGGGCAAACAATGGGCGCCTCTTCGGCCCACCCGCTGTGAAGCCTTCGGCCTCCTCCCGCAGGATGTGTCCTTTTCAGACACGCACGAAAGGCTTCCATACAGCACACAATGTTTAGAAACAATGGAGAGAGCCACGTTAATTGACTGCCTTCTGTTTCCGGCGTCTTGTTTAATGGCTGCTTTGAAGTACCGCCCAGCGCGAGTGTGGGCGAACTGTAAATTGTTGCATTGTTTTGAGCAGATGACTGCCTGTCGCGCGGGTAACCAATGTTACCGCGGCTGCGGGTGAGTCACTCTCACCTGTATCGCCTCTAGTATCACCTGCACTACATAACTAGCTAAGCTACCACTATCTGCCTGGCCTAATCACACATCACCGAAAAATGTGAATCAAATAGCTTTCCGATAATACCGATGCGGTGGGCACGCACCTAGCATTCCGGTATGCGAGAGCAAAGGCGCGTAAGCTGAGCCATTCAATGATTTTGCAACTGTCACAAAAGTGTACGAATTAATGACGGAAAAATGATCGAGCACCGTGATCAGTATCACAATCATAAAACTAACAAAACTAGTTCAAAAGTTTGATGCTGGTCTTTAGGGGGTTTTACAAGGAAATCGTACACTTCGCATTTGATGCGCAGTGAAGTTTGCCATTCTGAATGATTCACACCGGGCAGCATGAATCGACATTGTTCTCTAACACCGCATACTCAGACAGCTGGGGGGGGGGGGGGTGGGGGGGGGGGGGGGGGGTTCACCGCCCTCACGATGTTGACGCACTCACAGCAGCTGTAATCAGTGAAGCATGACGGTAAGCGGCCGGCGGGCGAGGTATAAACAGGTCATACGTGGTCTCCCACCCCTGTCAGACCAGTACCCATAGTACCGTAACGAGGGGGAGAGAAACTAAAGTCATGGATGGCGAGTCAGCAATGTATTGACTAAGTTGTTCATGCGTGCAAATGCATTCAAACATAGTGACCTAGTCCTGAACTCGGTGCGGTAAACCGTCCCTTTGTGCCAAAATTCTACCCGAGATCAGTCAAACATCCTAGCTGAAACATGTGCAGTCCAGCATTACTTCGCATCCAGCCGTACGGTTTGTAGGACTCACTCAGTTTAACACACAACACGCATGTGCAGCAGCCAAAACCCACCGGGACAACCAAACCAACAGCCGCACCCCTTACTGCGTAATGTGTACGCAACGAGCGACTTGACAAAATTCATCAGAACACGAGTTTAAATTGGAGCTGCATGTCGCTACCCACGCCCCTACCCACTCTACCCAGGAAATGGGTAACCCGCGGGAAACGGGTAACCCGTGAACGTCCATAGCGAACAGAAGGCCCGTACGGAACGCCTTGGACTGACCTGATGGAATCCCGGTGGGTGGACCGTGTCGACATATCCCAGATGGCCTGCAGAACCCCGGAGCCTTCGCGAACTCCAGTGTTCGCGCATTGGACCGCCATCGCAGTACAGCAGTGTGTCTTGAAACACCACGGAGCACCTGGGAGCACTGCACAGTACCTTAGAGCAGCCAGACGAGGGCACCACGGTGCTGCACTTGGGAACTCAGTAGCGCCGCTAGAGTTCCACGGTATCCTCCGGAACCACACGGTGCTTCTCAGAATAACCCTGGGTTATCAGAGTGCCGGAACTCATAGTTGGATGCACGTGGTCTGAGACTTAGTTCCAACCGAGCTCAGTTCCTCTTCCAGCGCAGTTCCATATCCTGAGCCACGCAGCCGTTTCCGGACCACTCAACGCGCATTTCGCACACTTCATACGGCGCGGCGTTCAGACAGTTCAGCCGGAAAACATAAAAACCCTGCTCGTATAGCACTCAAACTTCCACCACTCAAACTCCGCTCTATTGGGTGGAGCACCACTCAAACTTCCTGTCAAACAGATATGCCACTCAGTCGAGCAGCCGATACGTCGGATGCTGCTTCTGGTACGGTTCCTGACAGCCAACGTCTTTTGACAATCAAATGATAACACTCACTGCGACTGTTCCGTCTTGATATCAATGCTGCGATACCATACAGACCTACAGCTCGTCTCCCTGCGTCTAGCACTCTGACGGCTCCATCCCAATCCTACCGAGCACATGTCGCTGCTCTCGATAGTTTACTATGCAGTACGACTCCCCCCGAACTAGTTTGGCGGCGGCGGTGGCGGTGCCGCCAGCAGGTCCGGCAGACCCGGGCCGTCCATTGTCCGACCGCCCAGCGGCCCGAGGTGCAGCGACGGCACGCCAAAGTGCGGCTGCCACGGCGGCAGGCCGGCCGTCGGCGGCGGGCCGAGCGGCCGCGCGCCCGGCGCCGCGCTCGTCCGTTCCGGCAGCGGCGGCAGTCCCTGCTGCCAGGGCGACTGCCACACACTGTCACTGCCACCGCTGGCGGGCTGGGAAGGTCTGACAGACGTGTCTCCGGACTGGGAGAGACCCGGCAGCGGCGCCCGGAATCCACCCGGGGGCGCGGAGAGGGCCGGTCGAGCGGCACCGGTCGGCGGCGGCCCCTGGTGGCTTGGAGGTGGCGGCCCCTGATGGACGGGCGGTGGTGGACCCTGATGGAAGGCCGGCGGTGCCTGTCGGACAGCCGGCGGGGGTCCCTGCTGGAGGGCCGAGGGAGGTCCCTGCTGGAACGGTGGCGGCGGCGCCTGCTGGAACGGCAGCGGCGGCGCCTGAGAGCTGGCCGGATCGGCCCAGACTGGCGGCCGTCCGTTGGGTGGCGGCACGGACATGGGCGGCGGCGGTGGCGGCGGCGGTGGCTGGTTCAGCAGAGTTCGTGCCGGTGGCGGGCCGGGCCACCTCTGCCCCCCACCGCCGGCTCCCGGCCGACCACCAAACGGAGCCGCACCGCCAGCGCGTCCCGGCGGCGGCCCGGCCTCACCCAGCTCCGCCATTAGACAGAGGTACTCCTCGTCGATCCGTGCGCGAGCGCCGGGGTCCGGAGCGCTCTCCTGCGCCTGCTCCTCTCCTCCGGCGAGGCCGAGCCCGCAGCGCTGCTGCCGGCAGTCCCGCGACACGTGTCCGGCCGATCCGCAGCTCGTGCAGACGATGTTGTTCGTGACGTTCGGCTTGTCTTGACACTGCGGGCGGAGAACACGAAGGCTAGTTTTGCAATACTGAATGCTCAGAGGACCGTTTAATGTTCCACAAAGTATAGCTCAACAAAATGCTCGCGCTTTCACGTATCTTAATTTCAAATGCGCAGGCCCAAGTCCAGCACTATTCCCAGCTCTCCCCGTAAATATCCCCACTTCCCACTCATCCCCGCCGGTCTCACCTGCCAGGTTTTGTGGTTGTCGGCGCCGCAGTTGATGCAGCGCTGCCCGTCCTGGTCGCGGAGCGTGCCGTTCAGGAGGGCCAGCTCGCGCAGCTGGCTGCGCCGCAGGTCATTCTCTCCGTCGGGCAGCTCCACGGCCTGGCGAATGATCTCGCTGATCCGCGCCACGGCTCGCTCCACACACTCGGGGCTGAGCGAGGAGACGAGCGCGTGCAGCGGCTCGTCCTCGCCCGGCATCGGCAGGCCGTCTCGGCGGCCCACCTTGCCCTCCTTGACGGAGCCCTTGCCGCGGATCACGATCCGGGCACCCGTCTCCTGCTCCAGTGCTGGCGGACGGGGGACCAACATCACTAGGGGAACCGGCGAATGTGTATGAGACGTTTAATGAAACTTGTGATCGCGTGATAGTGTGGAGGGCGGCGTAGTAAACACATTTAATTGAATTTACACGCTGAAAACACAAAACCATCCGCCACATCGCTTATGAAAGCGACAATTAACAAATATCAAAACAGTACAGCTGCATTTCACGGCAACTGAAATATTGTTTTGCTGAACGCGTCGGATACTCACCTCTAAGTGTGTTGCCGCGGGGGCCGATGAGCAGGCCGACAAAGTTGATGTCGGGGTGCTCGTCCTGCGGGATGGCAATCTTCTCCGTCACCTTACTGTTGGACGGCCTGAGGGAAACGTAAGACGTCATGTCGACAACAGCCCTGCTCCAAAGTCCTATGAGATAATCAAGCAGACGTTCCGTACCTTCGCTACGCAAGCAAAGACGAGAAGACACAGAAAATCGAAAATAAATCGCGCTTCAAGATCGAATTGCGAGGAATCAGTACAAAACAAAGGCTGCAGTAGGGCAAATTAAATAATTCTGCTTCAATACTTTTCCCAGAAACATGAACGGACATGGAACGTCCCGTCCCATTCACCAAACACACACTCTAATCAAAACAATGTACAGCTGCACACCGGTCCGAGGCCCGTGCCGTTCCTCACTTGTAGCCAGCCGGCGGCTTGTACTCGGCGTTGATCTGCAGCATCTTCTGGACGAGTTTGTGTCGCTCCTCCTCCAGGCGGCGTCGCGTGCGGTACTCGCGCGTGTTGAGCCGCTTTCCGTTCGCCCCGTACACTGGCTCCGGCGAGGGGGACCTGCGCGCCACACGGCTGGTCAGAGGGGAGGCATACCGCGCGTGGGGGAGGGGGGGGTGAGAGCGTGGGCGCACTCTGCTACTCAGGGGAGAGGGCGGTATGGTAGATACTCTGTTAGCGAACTGAAATGACGCTTGAGGAAAGTTGAGTTATTGTGGTACCGGCTTCAGGGGTTTGGAAATGGGTATGATACAATTCAACATTAGTGACTGACCAGATAAACTGAGATACGATGAATTGTAGGTGAAAACTGATTTGTGGCATGATCGATTAAACCAAGGACCGTTGTTAGGGTATTTATCAGGAAAGTGTAGGTAATGAAATGGGTCCACAGATTGCCAATGAAGTCGTCGGTCGAGAAGACCATTAAACAAGTGTCAAGCTAAAAAACAAACTGCAGACATTATAGAGAGCGCCAGGAACATCTACCAAAAATCGCTCGAGATCGGATTCCCTTTGAAATCTATCAGATAAACGCTTAAGACCGACGTCCCGTGAAGACAAAACAACAAAGAATGGAAATAAGATGTTTGGGCCCGCGTAGCGCAATCGATGGGCGGTTATTCTAGCATGGCGTCATTCC